TTTTTTTTTTAAGTTTTATTTTTAATGCTGCAAACATAGTTGAGAAGGATGTATGCCAATGTGGGCCACTGATTAGAGTGGGAGGGTGAAGCTATGGAGGAAGAAGGGTGGGACTAATGTTTTCAGTTTTTTTTTTTCTTTTTCTCCATTATTTTCGCATGGAGTAGAGCGTGTGAGTTGAATGGGAAGGGGCTGTCAAACTACATCAGCAACTGGGCATGATGGGGGATGGTTATTTGATGTCATAGACCCTGATGTGGGGAAGAACGTTCGAAGTGTGTTGTTGAGTGGTTTGATAGTTCTGAGACTTTGTTTTGTTGCTTCAGAGTTGAGAGAGTTTTCCGAGGTGTGTTGGCTGACAAATTGCACCTTAGTGCATCCACACACCCAGATACTTGCCGCCAAAGCTTGGCCAGGAGAGTTGTTTAACCTGTTCTGCTTTGCGTCTTCTGACGTGGCACTCAGCTTCCTCTTGCTGGCCTGGATGAGCAGTCGAGTCTGCTCCGAGTCTGCTCTGTCCCACCTGCCATGTGGCTCTTGTACACATCCATGGCAGCTGTGGCTTAATCAGTCTGGCCTGACCCCAGTCCTGGCTCCCGTGTTTATCAGTAGGGGCTGCAGCTCAGCAAAAGAGTGCCTGCAGTTACCCTGCTAGGTCCACTCCCACTCCTAGCCTGGATCTTGCAGTTGCGATCTAACCTGGCAAACTTGCACCCAGTCTTGACACTTGCCAGCTAATGCTGTGGCAAAGCCCGGCTGGCCCACACTTCTGGCTTGTGTGTGTGTATAACAGTTTATGTTAGATCTGTATTGTTATTAGTTGTTAATATCTTATTATATCTAATTTAGAAGTTCAGCTGTGTGATAGGTAGGTAGGAGAGAAGGCAGCAGAGTTTAACTCTGTCTGTAGTTGAAGGAATCCATTGGATGTCTGGAGTAAGGAAGAAATGCTGTGGTTTGAAGGTAGCAGCACTGACTGGAAACGGTAAGTGTGTGTGTGTGAGAGAGAGAGAGAGAGAGAGAGAGAGAGTTCTGTCAGCTCCGTGTGCTCTGTGCGCACTGGCGTGGTGTGACCTGTGAAACTGGCATTGTTTGGCTGTGGGTGGACTCCCCTTGTGTGTGGGGTGGGGAAGAACAGGGCCCTGGGGCCGGCCTGTTGAGCTGATCTGCAGGAGCGTCCCCTGCTGGGTTTCTGCTGCCTGGTCCAGTGATGATTCTGTCACCCAGGAAGGAGGTGTTGGTGAGGATGTCTCAAGGGAAGCTTCCATCTTTAGTTCCTTCCTGCTGGCAGTTTACTGAGGCAGCCTCTATTTTATCCTCCCCTTGTATGCTTTTGAAGAAGCATAGCATGGTGAGACTTTTGTTTTGGAGTTGTCATTAAATTTGCCACTTTTATTGCAGCAATTATTGGCAATATTTCTCAGGGACAAGTTTGTATGAAGGTAGGTAAAAGGTATAACAGAGAAGCTTGGGTTCCTGTCAAGAGAAATTGTTTTATTGTCTTTGTCTTTGAATTAGATTATTGAGATTAAAAGTGTACATGGAGTATCCTGATGTGATTATTTGCAGTTTTTATTTGCTCCGAATGATGACGTCAGTGTGAAGACACGCTGCCCAGAGGGTGCACGTCAGAGGCACGTAAGCAGGGAGCTCGGCTGGACGTGGGGTGGCCAGGCCTCCACCTGGCCTTCACGGGGGCACACACCTTGTCTGCTCTCAGACCCAGCCCTGGAAAGGGTGGCCATGATCCTTAAGGGAGTCTCTCACTTGGAAGGCATACGCCACGGCAGACCGCCGCCTAGAAAGAGGAGAAGAAGCGTGTAGACACAGCGGGGGGACGGTCATGTGACCATGGAGATGGGCATGGCATGGCACGGGCGTTCAGAGGCCATGGGGGAGCGAGCGTGTGCTGCTGACAGCTGAGCCTCGGATGCCTAGGACAGAGCCCAGAGCCACGCAGCCGGCCTGCTGCACAGTGATCCCCTTGGGCAGACCACGTATATGGAGGCGTTTGCTGGGGGTGTCAGGGGCCTGAGGCATTCGTGTCTCAGAGGTCAGAGCACCGCCCGTGACTGCCGTGTGGAGCTGAGTGCCCTGTGCTGTGCCTGACGGGACAGCCGGCTCCCGGGTGGCCGCAGAGCTTGCCTCACGCAGGTGCCACGTCGTGTGTCTTCCTGTCCTGTTGATGCCTTTGGGTACTCCTACACTCAGCTCTAAGTTGGGATGCTATGTGCGTGGGTTTAATGTGTGTGTTTAAGGAAATCTCCATCTTTTAAAGGTTGTAATTGGATTGGCTGCAACAATAGCCCTCATGGATATTTATTACAAATCAAACATTGTGTGTTTCCTGAGTTCTTCCTGGTTGAGAATGGGTGGCCATGGCTGGAGCGACTGATTCTTACTGCGTTCTGACCCTGGTGGTTTTTACCGTTACTGTGGGCATGGGGGGTGGAGGACCTGGAATAATGGCCCCAGAGGTCTCCTTGTCTCAGACAAAATCTTTGCTGGTCTGAGACTGTGACGGGAGACGTGTCATCGCTGTGTGTCGGGTGGTTTGTTCATTTCTAAAAACAAGCTGTTTTGGTTCTGAAACTGAGGAAATTTGACTTCACGTAGATGTTGAGTAGGTCACTCGAGGTCATGGGCTGGGCAGGTGAGGTGAGGAGGGTCTGCATAGAGGCTGTGGGTCAGTTCCATCTGCTGCATTCTCACGTTTGTCTACCCAGCCGTTCCTTTCTGTAGCAGTTGTTAGGAGAGAGCCTGCTTGTGTCCTTTGCATGACGGAGTGCCCCTTGCAGAGCAGGTGGGGTAGGTGGTCCACGTGGGCCTGGGCCTCCGTGAGCTGCGTGAGCTGCGTGACTGAGGCCAGCAGCCACTTCCTGTGCTTCTCGTGTGATGGTGGTGGCAGTGGCTGTGTCGTTGGGGACACAGGAGCAGTTAGCATGTGCCACCTAGCGTCTTGATTGTGAGTTTCGGTGCTGTCAGATTCAGGACCTTGACTTGGCTGGTCATCTTGGCTTTGAGAGCATTCTGTGGACTTCGTGCATGCCAGGCAAATGTGTGATTGGCTGAATGGTGAAAATGCAGCATTGAGTTACTGGGGGAGATGCTGTGGTGGTAGTTACAGTTAATCTTCTCTGATGTCAGCCTAAATCAGTATTAGCCCTGCACTCGCCCTGGGCAGCTTTTCCAGGTACTGTGCTTGGGCCCGAGCTTGGAGAAGGGCTGCAGTGAGGGCAGCACGCCTCTTGCTGGGTGCCTGTAGCTGCCTGGGCTCTTACTGTCCTCCCCTGAGCACCCTCCAGGTAGCTGAGCCGCGTTCCTGTGGGAGATTGCAGACACGAGCGTGGGGCTGCTTTCCGAGGAGGGCCTTCCTTGTGGCCAGAGCCTTGTGCGGAGGCCTGGGGCCGTGTGCACTCCTCCTGACTCTGCTGTCCAGGCTGTGCATTTCTTGGTGGGCAGTCGTGTTTGTTGGGCTCCCTGTGTGCACTGCTCCTCATCAGTGACGCAGGACTGTCTTGTTAGCTGAGGTTGAGTGCCGCAGAAGCTCCTTGGCCGCAGACCGACTTCTGTCAGTTGAGTGTCTGGAGGCGTGAGGCTGGTTTGGCAGTTGCTGTTTGAGATGGTTGAAGGCAGTATAAGCACAGTTGTGGAGAAAGAAGGCATCAGAATCTCGGGGTGCACCTGATTCCTGAATTTTCAGTCACTTTTGTTTCCTGAAGTGCTGTGTCAAAGGCCACGGGCGAGGGAGCAGACCAGGCGGGTGGAGGGTGACCTGGGGGGAGTGGGGTGCGTGATGCTTGCAGACGACGGGTGGCGGAGTGGGGTGAAGGAAGACTGGAGACCTACCATGCAGTGTGCAGCCCAGTGCCCAGCACACGGCAGGGTGCCAGGCGGCTGCCAGGCGGCTGTGTGCGTAGAATTGGGGCACTTAGCTGGGCTCCCCCCAGACGGGCTGTTGAGAGCTTTCTCAGGCCTGACCCATGGCCCCTTCTGCCGCGTATCCCCGTGTCCACGATGGTTCTCTGTTGTTTTCACATACTTGGTGGCTGCAGTGGGGCACAGAACAGGCTGGCACAGCCCAGCAAAGCCTGGGTCAGGACTGCGGCCGCCGGGTGGGGTACTCCCTGTGTGTGTTCATACCCTTTATACAAGTGCTCACCCAGTTCCAGGACCCATTTCCGGCAATTTCTTCAGGTATATTCTTACTTGAGAAATATCTGTGAAGGAGAGGCTGGTGGGTTGGGGAGCATGCGCAGTTTGTCCCAGGCACACGACCAGCGGGCCAGATCAAAGCAGAGCATCCAGGACTCCATCCTGTGCTCTGCTGGGGACGCCAGCACTGCACGTGAAGGCTCAACTGCACCACACCAGGGCCACAGAAACTCAACTTTTAGCTTTGTCTTCTGTGAACTCTTTGAAATACCCTCATGTATGGAGTGATTTTTATTTTAGTTAGAATTCTTTTCTGACCTTTTCTCTGAAGATTTCAGGTCAGATCTAAATTGTGTTCGTTTCTGCGTGATGGGGCGATGGGTTAGCCACGGTTTGCTTCCTTACCCGATTCCCACGTGGTCACATTCGTGGGGGATGGGGCAGACATCACCGTAGGCTGAAGAAAAGGGTGTGTTTGTTTAGACTGTAGCAGCGCAGAGCTGTGGTGACCTGAGTGGCCAGCCAGGCATGGACTTCAAGTCTAGATCTTGAGCAGGTCCTCGGACTTGAAGGCTTTGCTGACTGGATCTTGAGTCTGGGTTTGATGGTAGCACTGCTTTCTGCAGACTGAGCACTTGGGCAGGTGTGCGGGTAGGCCTGGCACTGCGCTGTTGGTGGTACACATGCGCTGCTAGGACACTGCGGGGGGCACCTGGCAGATGTTCATGTGACTGACAGCCTGAGCTTGCAGACTGAAAACCTCCTCAGATGCTTATAGAAAACATTAAAAAAGTAATGAAACTTTTTGGAGTGTTTCTTTAATGAATCATTTTGTTTTCTTTTAGGATTTGGAGTTCCATGGAGTGATGAGGTTTTATTTTCAAGATAAAGCTGCTGGAAACTTTGCTACAAAATGTATTCGGGTCTCCAGCACTGCGACCACCCAGGACGTGATTGAGACACTGGCAGAGAAATTTCGACCTGACATGCGCATGCTGTCCTCTCCGAAATACTCCCTCTATGAGGTGCATGTCAGTGGAGGTCAGTGTGGGCTGCTTGCTGGGCCGGGGTTCCTACTGCCTGCAGCTGTGCAGTCAGGAGCCTGGGAGCTCAGAGTGTTAGTGCCAGAGCTGATTTATATCTGGGAGGCGATTTTGTAAGTTCTTAGCACATGCGTTGTTTGCAAGTTAGAGTGCACATTAATTTCATACGTTTGTTTAAAGATAAAATCCAACAGAATCTAATTACTTTTCAGAAATGTGGTTTAAAGTCAACCATGGGGAGGGGAGGATCTTGAGCTGCTGGTCTGTTCCCGAGTGGCCACAGTGGCCAGGCCGAGCCCAAGAGCCAGCAAGCCTTCCTCAGGCTCCGAGTGGCTGGAACGTCCTGGGCTGCTGTCTCCGTTAGCAGGGAGCTGAGTGGAAGCGGAGGAGCCAGGACTGGATGCCGGCGTCTCAGACCTCAGCTTATCCTGCTGCACCGCAGTGTCCCCCCACACCTTGTCGTTGTTTTTTGAAATTGTTTCAAAGGCATTTTGAGAGAGAAAGAATAAATTTATAAAAAGTTGGAGTGCTTGGGAAGTGTTGAGTAAGCTGAGGTATTATGTATTGCACAAGCTTCATTTATAGACCAGTTCCATCCCTAGGTCACCGTTTGTTGTTGACACAGGTGCCGTGCTTCTCTGTGCGTAGCAGAGGTGCAGCTGAGGTGTGTGGGACGTGAGGCATCTTGGGTGCGGGCTGGCCCTTGCCCCCACAGTCGTGAGACTGGCCAGGGTTGCGCACTGCGTAACTCATCCATTGCACAGCAGATCAGAGCTTCAGTTCTGAGCTGTTCTTTGTCACAGCAGGAAAGAGGTGTCTGTCCCTAGGGCCCCGTGCTGTGCGGCTGTACTATCAGCAGGATGGCTCTGTGTGCAGCTTCCATGTTGTGCAACGAGATTGGAATGGGGAATCTGAAAAGTCACTGGTTTTGCTTTTGTAGAAAAGTTTTTTTTTTTTTTTTCATTTAAACTTTTTTTTTTTTACTGTATTTTTAATTTAAAGTAAAATATGTTATAAAGGGTCAAAGCAATGATATTGAAACCAAAAAGAGTGGGTTTCTTCCCATGCCTGTGGTCTCCTCTGCCCGTGTGCGCGGGCATGTGCTGGGTCTGTGTGAATGTCTCGGGGCCTGCAATGGCAGCACGCCCGTGGTCTCCTAGCCTCAGATGGCAACCATGTCCTGCCAGGTGGCGTGTTCCTCAAGGTGTGGGAGCCCTGGTTTCTTGCCTGTTTTTTAGACAAGGCTTGCTTGTTGCTGAACCAGGAAAATTGCAACACCGTGTTGATGCAGCCATGACCAGAAGGAGTCCCCTTCAGCCTGCTGTGGTCCTCTGTGTGTGCCGTCTGGCTTGTGGCCCTGTTCAGGTCACTCCGCAAATGGCTACTGTGGCTGGAGCTGGTCTGGAGCCAGGAGCTTCTTCCAGGTCTCCCGCATGGCTGCAGGGCCCAGGATTTGAACCATCTTTTACTGCTTTCCCTGGCCATTGGTAGGAAGCTAGATCAGAAGTGGAGCTGCTGCGACTTAAAACAGTGCCCATTTGGGATGCCAGCACCACAGGTGGCAGCTGTGGGTCAGGCTCCCCTGACTGCACAGCTGCTTGGTCACAGTGCTGGTCCCCGGCTTCTAGACATTTTTCTTTTCTTCTTTTTAAAAGGATTTGTCTTTTTTTTTTTTTTTATTGGAAAGGTAGATTTACAGAGACAAGGAGAGACAGAGAAAAATATTCCCTCATCCCCATTCGCTCCCTAAATGGCTGCAGTGTTCAGAGCTGAGTTGATCAAAAGGCAGGAGCCAGGAGCTTTTTCCAGGTCTCCCACTTGGGTGCAGGAGCCAAGGACTTGGTCCTCCTCTGCTGCTTTCTCAGGCCACAACCAGAGAGCTGGATGGAAGTGGAGCAGCTAGGACATGACCTAGTGCCCACATGGGAACCTGGCGCTTGCAAGGGTAGTATTGGCCAGTTGAGCCATTGCCCCAGCCCCTGCATTTTTTTAGCTCTAGAATTTGTAGCTTCACTTCTGTTGAAAGCATAAAACAATTATGCTACTTTAAAAATAGTGTGACATACCAAGAAGGCTCTGTTGGGTGGGGAGCTGACTGAATCGGGGTTTAGACCCATTGCTTGTCAGCGCCTGCCCTGGCTTTTGTGTTGTTTCTGTGATTGAACTGCAGTGGTTAATATATCAGTTCTCTAAAAGTTAGAAATTTTGATCTAGTGCAAATCTTGCAACAGGAATCTTTGATAATTTGCATTTGTTGCAACAGTAAGAATCTTCTTGGAGTGTTTGGTAACTCGTTTGTTGCATTGAGAATCTGTTCTTGAGCTGTTGCTCTAATTTTCCTTTCTCTTCTTGTCAGTTGATGAAATAATAGTGAAATGTGACTGTATTTTGATAGTGAATTCACTGCTTCTGGGCACTGTTTACAGAAGCTTTTGTCAGGCCCCTGTTAACTCTGGGCTCCTGTGGCACAGGGACTGCCCCCCGCCTCCCGGCCCTCATCTGCGGCTTGTTGCACATCTTGGGTCTGGTTGTCTGGGAGGTGTTTGCCAACATTGTTGTGAGTGGGGCATTGTGACTCGTGCTGTCGTGTGCTGCGTGGGGTGGAGGTGACTGCTCGGGAAGTTTCTGGCACAGTCTTGAGGTGCTTCATCAAGCTGGAGCCTTCTCTGCACTGTCGCTCCTGCGGCCCTGGACGGCACCTGTCCTCTCCCACCTGTCTTTCTGGAACAGTCTGCAGTGCTTTCTCCCTTCAAGCCCATGTGGGCTTTTTCACTGTGGGCATTCCAGGTGGTCCTCCCTGGTAGTGTTTTTATTGTGTTTTGTCTTCAGTGGAGGCTGATTATCCAAAGATAGGGGTTCTGTGAGGGGCTGCTTGCAAAGTAACCAACCTGAAACTGGGTTGGAGTTAGAACCAAGTACTGACGGGGAGTGCGGTGCAGCCCTCCCTGCGGGGAGGACGTCCACCTCCCGCTGGGCAGAGTTGTGCTGTGGAGTGTGGGTCGTCCTGTGCTGACAGAGCACCGCCTGGCCACTGCGGCCTCCTCATTTACTCATCCAGTGGCCTGGCCCTCACTGGACCTTGACTGGTTCAGGCTTGTTGCAATTTTAAAGACCTATTTATGTGGAAGTCAGTGTTTTTTTTGTTTGTTTTTTTTTTTGTTTTTTCTTTGAAGATTTACTTATTCTTTTTATTGGAAAGCCAGATATACAGAGAGGAAGATCTTCTGCTCATGGATTCACTCCCCAAGCGCCTGTAATGGCCTGAGCTGCACTGATCCAAAGCCAGGAGCCTGGAGTCTCCCACATGGGTGCAGGATCCCAAGGCTTTGGGCCGTCCTCGACTGTTTTCCCAGGACACAAACAGGGAACTGGATGGGAAGTGCGGCTGCCGGGATTAGAACCGGCAGCCATATGGGATCCTGGAGCATACCAGGTGGGGACTTTAGCAACTAGGCTACTGTGTCGGGTCTAAAAGTCAGTGTTATAGAGGGAGAGGGACAGAGGCAAAGAGATTACCACGTGCTAGTTAACTCCCTCAAGTGGCTTCAGCAGCCAGAGCTGAGCTAATCTGAAGCCAGAAGCCAGATGCTTCTTTCCACAAGTTATTTATTTACTTATTTATTTATTTATATAGCTAATTAGGGTAAAAAGGTTAAAGGACTACAGGAAAGTGGGTAAGACTAGTATTTTTTCCATATTGTTTCCTTCATGTTTGAAGGGAGGGGTATTAAGGGAGAAGGCCCACCCAGTTTCCCACTTTCCCCAGGTCCCGCGTGTAGGGGATGCTCCGAGGTTCTTGCTCAAGTAGTTTTGATAGTTCACCAGTTATGAATCACTGCCAATCTTGCCACTCCAAGCACTATGAGGTCTTTGAAGAATCCACTGATTGACATAGTCCATTATAGTCTCCGTTTACCCTGTATTTCACTGCCAACATATAGCTGAGATGGTTGGTTGACCTGTTCTGTCTTCTCTCTTTTCTTGGTTAGGGTTCTGAGTCCAGCATTTTGATTGGGGAGATCTCCAAAGAAACTTTGTCTGAGGTGTTCTCAGACCAGATTCTTGTATGTACTAGCAAGCACAGGGCCCGGCTCAGTCCATGGCCCTGATCAGCTGGTGGTTGTGATCACTGGGTTGGTTCTGTTTTCAGCCCCGACTTCCACTGGAACCAATGGGTGTTGCAGTCCAGCCTGGTTCTGCCCAGCACATTCTTGGCGCTCGCATAAACCAGTGGGAGCTGCAGCCCAGTTGGAGTGATCCACAATAACCCCCACCAGGCCCGCCCCCTACCCTGGTTTGCCAGTATGTGTAGCAGACTAGTCCAGTCTGTCCCACATCCTATTCCACCCCAGCCGCTGACCTAGTTTTATGCCCTCCCGTGGAAGTAGTAACCCAAGAGGGAGGAGCCCACTATTTCCCTCCCAGGCCTCTCCCACTCCCAGATTATGCACTCTCCAGATAGTTCTGTGGTTTGACTTGACAGAACTATGCCTCTAGTGCCAGCTTCTGCCAGCTGATGCTGTTGCTAAGCCCAAACAACCCTCACGCACTCTAATTTTGTTTGCACCAGTAGGAATAATCACCCAGCCTGGCTTTTCCCTGATCTAGTCCACATGAGGCATACAGATATTGTAGCCCTGCTTAGCCTGGTCTGCCCCCATCCCAGCCTATGCTCTCCAATGGGTGTAGCTGTCCAGCAAAGGAACCACCCTTTATTCCCCTGCTGGCTCTGCCCCCTCCCTTCCTTGTTCTCACGCTTGGTGGTTGGGTGCTGCGGTCCCTTTCAGTACAGGCAACCTCGCCTTGGCATTCCGTATTGTGCACTAGTCTTTGTTGCGACCAAACCTGGCTCGACCCACACTGTTTTGGTGCTTGGATTTGCCAGTGGATGACATGGACAGATTCAGCCTGGTCTTCCCCTGACTCCTGCCAATTGTATGCCAGTGGGTAACTTTCCATGGCCTGTTCTGGGCTGTTTCCTATCATGTTTCTTGCGCTTACCTGCTGGGACTGTGTCCTGCCAGAGGAGTTACTCAGGCTCCTCCATCAGAACCTCTCCCAATGCCAGATTTTGCACGTATCAGTGGGTCCATGAGCCAGCCCTACTCAGTTTACCTCCTGTCCTAGCAGGAACAGGGGCTTTTCCTGACTGGCCTTCAACCCAAACTGGTTCTTGCTGTTGGATGTTTCAGCCCAGCCATGGTTTGTCCATGCCCACATATGGCTCACACATGGCTCAGTAGGGGTTTGAGACCTTGCCTAGTCCATCGCACATCTATCCCGGTCCTCCAGGACACCAGAGGGTGTTGGGGTCTGGCCTGGTTCGGTGCATCCAGTCCCAGTCCACAGTTGTGCCAAGGGAGACTACAAGCGTTTCCAGATCAGAACGCAGCCCCCATTCCAGGTCACATGCCCCTTGGTGGGAACCTCAACCCGGCTGGGGTTGTCCCCTTAGCTCCCCAACCTGGCCTGTTCCCAGCCATAGATCACGTGAATGCCAGTGGTTGCTCTGACTCAGCTTGGCTTAGCCCCTCACCTGTCCTGACCTCTGCCTTAGATACTGTGGCTAAAGCAGTACATCCCATTCCATTACCAATTGACACATTACCCAGCTGTTGGAGCTACTTTGCCCAGCTTATCTGACCCCCAGGTCTGGACCACATGTTCACCAGCAGCTATGACTCGCCAGGGGAGTTTCCCAAGTTCCTCCACTTGAGCCTCTCCCAGACCCAGTTCTCATACATGCCATTGGGTTTAGGCCAGTGCCTGGTGCATTCTGGCCTTCCATTTGGCCTTGTATGAGCTGGTGAACCTTGCAGCCCAGTCCATCCCACACCCTATTCAGGATACACATTTGGGTGCTACTGCCCTGACCAGTCCTGACTGTTGGGGGTTCCTTTACCTGTGATTCATGGCAGGCTCCTTGGTCACACCTAGCTTAGTCCATCACCACCCCAACTCTTGAGCTAAACAGTGGGGATAGAATTTCCACAAGGTTTGGCTCACACATCCCTCACAGAATCTACCCCCGGTTATGGTTCTTGAATGCTAGTTAATGTAATGGCTTGCTTAATGTGACTCTACTCCTGATCCATCATCATGTCAGGTAACATGATATAATTCTGCAGGACAAGCCCCAAGCCATCGTTTTTACATGGACTGGTATTTGGTGGTCAGCATTGTTCAGTGATTACAAGTTTTACAAAGGAAGAGTTACTGCCAATGGGAATCTTTACAAATGCTTCACGTCCTATAAGCACAATGGGTTCAACCTGGAGCTACCTAAGCAGCGATTCAAAGAACCCCAGAGCTGACCGGTGGCCAGCAGGCAGAGCCTGGCACCAAATGGCACACTGGCCGGCCGGAGACAGCTCACCACGTGCACCTGGTGGCTGGCATCTGGCATCCAGGCATGAGACGCCCCGTCCTGAGACCCACCAGCAGCTGGGAGCCTGCTGGAAGTTTAAACTCCCAGGCCCAAGGTCGCGCCCCTCCCCAATCCCATTTACTGCCCAATGAAGGTGGTGGGTGGATCCCGGACCTGCCCAGTCACGGAGACCTCCCCACTTGGTGTACTCACCCCCAAAGGGAGCAGCCCCTGGAGCCCAGGCAGGCCCGGGGACAGCTTACCACGTGCACCTGGTGGCTGGCATCTGGGATCTAGGCATGAGATGCCCCGACCTGAGACCCACCAGAAACCAGATGCTTCTTCTAGGTCTCCCATGTGAGTGCTGAGGCCCAACATCTGCTGCTTTCCCAGGCACATTAGCCAGGACTCGCACCAGAGCCTAAGTGGGATACTGACTGTAGGTGTGACTTTTAATGTCACTTTATCAACTCAAGTCACGCTCCGCCTCTTGCACTCTAATGCTGCTGTGAAGGTGACGGCCAAGGAGCACTGGAGGAGCTGGGTTAGACACGGGGGACGGGCACTCGGAGCAGGGGCCTGGCTTCCAGGGACAGCGTTGCTGAGCTGAGGAGCTAGCTGTGGAGTCGTAGAGAATCTTCGCTCCTGCTTGGGAGAGTAAGATTGCTCAGGTCATCTAGAGCTCTCTGTGAGGCTGACCTGTGCCCGACTGGAAGGCAGCTGGCACTCTGGAGATGGGGCTGCCTCCACTTCCCTGGTGCCCTTTGGCCTGTGGTAGAAGGTCCTACCACATTAGCGCTCAGAGTTGATGTGTTGCAGGCCATTGGTGGGTGCTTGGGGCATGGCAGGACCAGTGAGTGACCACGACTGGGGGCACGACTGAACTGGTCAGTGGCCACGGCTGGGGGCATGGCAGGACCAGTGAGTGACCACGGCTGGGGACATGGCAGGACTGGTCAGTGACCATGGCTCAGAATCGGGGGTCCTCCTGTCCTGCAGAAGAAATCACCCGACACTTGAGAGTCTCCGAGGTGCTTTATTCCGATCTTCCGTTAAAAGCCATTATGTCCGTTACGCTCCAGCCCCTCCCCCGTCAAGGCCCCCCCCCCCTTATCTGTCAAACTTGTCCAATCAGCTTAAAGATAACCAAGGCACACTAATCAGGGCAAAGGGCCAATCACAGGGCAGGAAATGGTCAGTGCCCCCAACAGCTCAGGGCACATCAGGACCAGTCAGTGACCATGCCAGAGGCACGGCAGGACTGGTCAGTGACCACAGCTTGCTCCTTTGTTTGTTTCATGCTTTGAAGAAGAAAGAAGACTGGACATAGACGAGAAGCCTTTGGTCGTGCAGCTGAACTGGAACAAAGATGACCGGGAGGGCAGGTTTGTCCTGAAGAATGAGAACGATGCAGCTGCTCCCAAGGTGGGTGCCGCGCAGGTTCGGGGACCACAGCCACTGGGGCCCTGGGTGGGCTCGGGGACCACAGCCGCCGGGGCTTTGGGCTGGGTCTTGCGTTCTTTCCAAGCTCTTGGCCTTGTCATCAGTCAGCACGCTGTGTGTGGGCTCCTCGGTGCAGCTCCTTTCTAGTTACGTCAGGTCTCTGTCTCTTTGGAGGATGCTGTCGCATGATTGAGACTTTAAGGGTGGGAGAGTTTTGGGACCCCTGCACTGTTGGGCTGTTCTCTTGGAGTGCTGTCCTGTATTCATGTTGAAGTAGTGTTCCCGTGGGGTGCTGGGACAGGCTCACGTGAGTGAGCGAATGCAGAAGCAGTGGTTAAGACTACTGCATCTCCCACCAACACATTGGGCCTTTGCTTTTAGCAGCAGAGTCTGTTCTCTGGGGAGGTGGCCTACTGGACTCTGACACCTCGCTGGCAGTGTTGTCCTTTGTCTCGGCACACTCTGTGATCTTGGTCACGTGTGTGTTCTGTGCCCCCCTGCAGACCCTCCCTGGCACCAGGAAGTGTGAACTGCTCTGGTCCTTCAGCAAGGAAAGGACCTGGACTTGACTTTCCCAGTGTAGTGACCCTGGCTTTCCTTGTCCCCATTCAGAACTCTCGGGTTGTCCATAAAAGCAGGGTGATTCTGTGTCCTCAAGAGAGAAGCCTTGTTTATAGGTTAAAATATAAATCAAAAATAAGCAAGTCAACAAAAGGACTTAGAAGTTTTTGCATGAATGCGGTAACTCAAGCTGATCTGGGAAAGCCAGTTAGTTTGTTGTGGCTGCTCCTGGCTTCTTTTAAAGGCGAAGGGAAGCCTGGGCAGACAGGTCATGATTTAGATGCTCAGTTTCTGTATTTTCATTAGGCTCCTTTTGCTCAGATGAATCTGTGTAAATTACTAGAGTTTTCTTTATTGCCAAGCAGCTTTCGTGATTCCTACCCAGTTTTATTAGTACCTTTGGTATTTTGCTTGCTTGTTCATTTTAAATTGAATTCAATTCAGGTAGGAAGTACACAGACCTTGAGTGTACAGTTTAATGAAGACCGCATGTGGAGAAGCTCATTACCCGTGGGCGTTCCCTGTTCCTGGGCTGTTTTGGGCAGTGGCAGGTGCAGTGCAGTGAGTTGGGCTGTGGGGTGCCTAGGTGAGCCGGGCGTGGCCAGTGACGTCACCGTGTCCTTTATTAGAAGGTTCAGAGCAACGGGCCTGAGAAGCAGGAGAAGGAAGGTGTGATCCAGAACTTCAAGAGGACGTTGTCAAAGAAAGAGAAGAAGGAAAAGAAGAAGAGAGAGAAAGAGGCCCTGAGACAGGCGTCCGAGAAGGAGGACAGGCCCCTCGCAGGGGATGACATGTAAGTTCATCTTGCGGGGATGTTGTGTTGGCTCCCAGAGGGATCGCCAAACATGTGGGCACCAGCCTGGGCCTGTGTGCGGATGCCCTTTGCACTCCATGGTGAAGGGCTAGGATTTGGATTGGAGTGGGTGTTACCACCCCCAGCATGCCCTGGTCCTGCTCTCCCTTCCGTGACGTGAGCTATGGAGTTGGCCATGCTTCCTCAGGTTGCACTTGACTGTTGGTTCCCAGGAGGCCACGGAGAGGAGCAGGTGTGCACCTTTCCCTGCACATTCTGGCCCAGAGCAGGAGAGAAGGGAGCCATGGTTGTTCTTGTCACTGCAGGAGCTGCGGACGCGGTGCCCCGTCCTGTGGCCTGTACGGTTCCCTGCTCACCCCGTGCGGCGTGTGTGGGGCTGCTCGGACTCAGGCTTGGGTGCTGTCTGGTGCAGTGTTCGCTGCTTTACCTCCCAGCACTGTCTACCTGACTTCCATTGATTGGCATCTCTCCCAGTGTGGAAACACATCACCTGTCATACTTGGCTCCAGAGAGAAGCATAATCCAGTTGGGTTTGTCTTACAAAAATTGCTGCACTTTATATATTTAAGGTTCTCATTGCCTTGTGAGGTGTGGTGTTTTATCACATAATTTTTCCATTCCTCCTGTGTGTGGGCCCCTTTCCGGTGTGCTGCTCAATGATCATCCCACTGGAATTGTTCTTCAAGGGAGGTTGGTGACAGGTCTGTATGGGTTCCTGTGTACCACACTGTTGACCTCCTGCCCCTTCCCTCATGGAACCTGCAGGCTTCTCAGGCCCACCCTGCAGCCGCTGGGCTCTGGGGCAGTGTGCCAGGCCCTCCCTCGCAGTGTCCCTGCAGCCCCCTGGGCCCCGGGGCAGTGTGCCAGGCCCTCCCTCGCAGTGCCCCTCAGTTCTCCTTAGCCATTAAGTTCTTCTGTTAAAGCTCATTTTCTCGAGTTTAAATGGACCGTAAGTGTGCTTCATGCACTGAGGATATGATCCAGTTGTTGAGTGAGGCTCCCCCTGCGTGGCCCTTCTTGCACGGCAGCAGAGTGTTAGCTGCCTCCCGGACACAGTGGCCTTTGGGCTCACTGGGAATCGGCCACAGAGGCTGCATGGGATGTTCTGTGCCAGACAGAGGCATGTGGACGGTGCCCCCCGTGGGACAATACCAAGAAAAGGAGCGTTTAAACTTTGCTTTCTGCTTTGCCGTTTGTCAAGATAGTTTGTAGAGTAATATGTTTGATCTAGAAAATAAACTGCTTCAGATTTCAGCTTGACTGTTCCAAAGCTCGCATGGTTTTAATCACGTGCGTGTTTAAAGTTTGTCAGGTTTGTCCCTCCTGCATCTGTATTCACTCATCAGCTCACCCTCCTAGGCAGTAAGACGAGCTTTTAGTAAAGCAGAGTTTTATTTTAGTCCATTTATTTATTCATTTATTTAAATTAATTTTTATTTGAAATGTGGAGTTACACAGTGAGAAGGAGAGAGCTCCCAGTGGCTGCAGTGGCCCAAGCTGAGCTGATCCCAAACTGGGAGCTTCTTGCAGGTCTCCGTCACGTGGGTGCAGGGCCCGCGCACTTGAGCCAACCTCTGCTGCTTTCCCAGGTCGTAAGAAGCGAGCTGCGTGGAAAGTGGAGGTGCTGGGACTCAAATTGGCACCCATATGGGATGCTGGCTCTGCTGGTAGATAGTCAGCCTGATGTGCCACAATGCCAGCCGCTTTATTATTTTTGTTTAAATTAGAAGTTTGAAAGGCAAAGTTATAGAGGGAAGAGGCAGAGAGAAGAGCAGAGGTCTTCCGTGCTTGGTTCACTCACCACATCCCAAGATGGCCAGGCCTGCGGCTGAAGCCAAGCCTGCAGTTCTAGCCAGAGCGAGTGCAGGGTCTCTGCTCTTCATCCTGTGTTTGTTTCTGGTGTATGTGGAGTTGCGCTGTCTGCTGGGAGTCACTGCAGTGTAGGAGCCCGTGGTCCTGAGAGCTACACTGGAAGCCCCACAGTGGAGCTTGATGCCTCAGCTGGCCGCGCAGGACTCGCTCCTCGGGCTCGGAGGTGGCTGGGGAGATGACGATGTGAAAGGATCGCGGTGTTGTCCTCCCGTTGCAGTGAGAATTCCCGGCTGGCTGCCGAGGTGTACAAGGACATGCCTGAGACCAGCTTCACGCGGACCATCTCCAACCCCGAGGTGGTGATGCGGCGGCGGAGGCAGCAGAAGTTGGAGAAGAGGATGCAGGAGTTCCGGAGCTCAGACGGGCGGCCTGATTCAGGTGCGATTGCTGCGCTGTGCTTCTCTGCGGCCCTCCGTGGATGTTCCTCTGTGGCCTCTGTGGCCTCTGTGGTGGATGTCCCACTGTGCTTCTCTGTGGCCCTCCGTGGATGTCCCACTGTGCTTCTCTGCGGCCCTCCATGGATATCCCACTGTGCTTCTCTGCGGCCCTCTGTGGATGTCCCTCTGCGGCCCTCCATGGATATCCCACTGAGCTTCTCTGCGGCCCTCTGTGGATGTCCCTCTGCGGCCCTCCATGGATATCCCACAGTGCTTCTCTGCGGCCCTCCGTGGATGTCCCACTGTGCTTCTCTGCGGCCCTCCATGGATATCCCACTGTGCTTCTCTGTGGCCCTCTGTGGATGTCCCTCTGTGGCCTCTGCAGCTGGGCTCTGTCCCCTACCGATGGCTCAGTCCTTGCCTCCCACCAGTACAGCTGTTTTCTTTTTTTAGTTTTGGAAAATTTCACATATGGACGAGAGAGATGCAGTGCATGCCCACGTACCAGTCACAGTGTTTGATACTTACCAACTTGTGTTTCTGTTCTGTGCCTACATAGGTTGTCCCCATTCGATAGTGTCATCTTGGAGTTAACCCCAAACCTTTCAGTTTTTCATCTGTGGGAATGTTTCTGTACATTTTCCTGAAGGATAGAGATTCTTAGGAAGGAAAGTAAACAGCCCACACCAGCCACATACGGAAGAAGCGACAGGAATCCCCTTCTGGGGTTTGTCCCCAGTCCTCGTTTAGTCATTCTGAGCTTTCTCTGTCGCCTGCATGTCACAGTTGACTGATGGCTTCACCCGGCACCTCCCTTGGTTTTCAGGTCGTTTCCGTGGTTGGCTCACAGGGCTGGGGGAAGAGGACAAGTACGTCGGTGTCCTTCACTGGGGACCAGTGGTTTTCTAGCCTTTGTCCAGGGCTCCTGGGGCTAAGCCGGGAGCGTTTCTGACCCCTTGCTGTTCCTGAGCTGGCTCGTTCTGGCAGGCTCCTCCCTAAGGGATGGGGTGTCCAGTCGTCTGGACGCTTCCTGTCATTGTTGTGTTAAACTATCTTGGTTTTAGAAAATTGGACATCTTTTACAATGTTAGTCCTGCTTCCTGACCATGTAAATGTAGTTATTATTGTTTTCTGCCGTATCATAGTATTAGAAAAGTGTAAAAAAGTGGGCCCAGTGTGATGATAGGCTTAATGGCTGAATCCTCACCTTGCATGCACCAGGATCCCACATGGATGCTGGTTTGTGTCCCAGCTGCTTCACTTCCCATCTGGCTCCTGCTTGTGGCATGGGAAAGCAGTGGAAGACAGCCCAAAGTCCCTGGGACCCTGCAACCCAGGGGAGACCAGAAAAAGTTCCAGGCTCCTGGCTTTGGATTGGCTCAGCTCTAGCCATTGCAGCCGTTTGGAAAGTGAATCACCGGATGGAAGATCTTTCTCTCTGTGCCTCTTAATTTGTCTGTAGATCTACCTTTCCAATAGAAATAAACAAATCTTTAAAAATAGTAGAAGTAATACTGATGCTGTGATGCCAGAACATTTCCGGTTTTGTTGTGAGGTTGCTGTGGGTGTATCCTGTGAGGGATGTGTCCAGCAGTGGTTTGAAAGCTCATGCAGCACTGCTCTGTGTTAACAGTCTGCGATTGTGCTGCGCAGGCTTTATGGCTTCAGTTTAAGGGTCTGTGCCTGATGTTTAGTCACAGACCCGATTTGCGAGTAAAGCTTCAGCAACTAGTGTTTGTAAGGTGGTCTTAAAAACCAGCGAAGGGAAGGACTCCCTGCTCCAGGAGCCTCTGATAGGCCCAGCTGATTACTGTTACCTCCTTTGTGTGTAGTTCAGTCAAGAATGAGAGATTGGGCCCGGCACGGTGGCGCAGTGGTTAAGGTCCTCGCCTTGCATGCCCGGGATCCCATATGGGCGCCGGTTCTAATCCCGGCAGCCCTGCTTCCCTTCCAGCTCCCTGCCTGTGGCCCGGGAAAGCAGTCGAGGACGGCCCAAAGCTTTGGGAACCTGCACCCGTGTGGGAGACCCGCAAGAGGCTCCTGGCTTCGGACCGGCATAGTATCGGCCTGTTGTGCTCACTTGGGGCGTGAATCATCAGACGGAAGATCTTCCTCTCTGTCTCTCCTCTCTGTATATCTGCCTTTCCAATGAAAAAATAATAAAAATAAATCTTTAAAAAAAAAAGAATGAGAGATTTATGAAAGTAGATTCCCAAGCACTAGGAGTGCCTGCATGTACTGGTGTGTGCCGTGGGCAGGCCTGTGTGCAGGCCCCTCCTCGCCCCGAGGTGCCAGGCCGGCCCCTCCTCGCCCTGAGGTGCCAGGCCGGCCCCTCCTCGCCCCGAGGTGCCAGGCCTGCCCCTCCTTGCCCTGAGGTGCCAGGCAGGCATCTCCGTAGTTAGTGTGAATGCAAGTGCACCACTTAGACACTTAGATACGTTTAAATTAAAATAGGAAACATTTTCATGTCATTTTTTTCTGTTGCCATTAGATATAGGTCGATGAGGGAAATTTGATACTATTTGTTAAGGGCTTTAAGCATGAAAGCTTGGTATGCTTTGTTAATAAGTTGCAGAAGAATTTTAAGCTGGGGATTTAGAAAGCTTTCAGTTTAAATGAGGCTTTAGATCCGGAGAGATGAATGTGGAAGGAGCCAGGAAAGTGCATTGGGAATTGTGAGGAGGTGGGACAGGCCCCTTAGAAATGTTGGGTTGTCCTTAAGAGGGGCCAGGTGCTCCTAGCTCAGGGGGACAGCAGGCACAGAGAGAGAGGGCTGAGGGCATAGGAGAGGTGAAGTGGCGAGTAGCTGTCCACAGCTTGGGGCTCTTCTGGGTGACCCCCCATGCAGATGTGCCTGGGTGGGTGTGTTGTGTCAGGCGCTGCTGGGTCACAGGCCCTGCACAGCGCCTTTGACGGGGCTGGGGATACGCGGCTTGGGAAGGCTGCATGGCTGGGAGCAGCAGCACTGGGCTTGGGTGGAAGTGACAGAAGGTGAAGGCTGCTGTTGAGGGGTCAGCTGAGAGCAGGACAGAGCCCCTCACATCCAGAGGGCCTGCGGGGCATCTCCCAGGAAGCTGCGCTTTGTCAGCAGAGTAACTTGGTGGTGAATATGAGATGTGCAAAGTACTCGGCGTTTTGTTCCTAATGAGTAACTCACTCTTCCAGTGCTGTGCGACTGTCCCTCAGGTGGCCCCTGGAGGCAGGCTGGAGAAGGAGCACGGGCCGCTTCCCTGGGCGTGGGGAGCAGTCTGTGTGCTTGGCTCTCCCTGCGAGGCCATCTCCCCATCTTCTGGTGGCTCCTGATGGAGCGCCCGACCGTGTGAAGTGCTTCTGTCACTGCGTAGGTTCCCTTTGGTGGCTTCAAAGCACAGCCGACCCTGCAGGGCCTCTGCTCATTGATGTGTGGCAGATACTGCCAGTTACGGCTGTGGCTTTCCTGCTGGGGATGTGAGCAACGAGGCTTCCTCCTCAGTTTGGTGTTTCTTATCTGGGGGTAGGAGGCTGCCGAGAGTCCTAGGGAGCCTGTGTGTGGAGTGAGTCTTGGTCTTCTCACCTCCGGCGCGGCACCCGGATTGTGGGCCTGTCTGGAGTGCCCCAGTGCGCTGCCTTCTGAATTGGGAGGCTACGGACCAAAGCGCTTCTAAATCATGGTATACACTGCAGTCTGCATTTCTGTGTCCAGATGCCTTGTACAAGTCTCAGTCGCAGTTTTAGCCAGGCATTTTAACACTGAGGCCAATTATAAGAATCTTAGCCAGGAGCCCTTGGCCACACGAACGCCCTGAACGCACCTCGGCTGTGGGTTGTCCTAAAGGACTCGCTGCTGGAGTCACTCTCTGGTGTCCATCCTGCATTTCTGAAAGTTTGGTCCTGTTAGATTCAAGTTTTCAGACCAGATAGTCTTGCTGCTTGGTGAGCTGTACGTTTGGGACCCTGTAGTAATTGGCTCGGCATGGAATTGTTTTATAAGCATGAGACTCTGGCCATTTTCGTGTCTGTAGGCTGAGGTCCATTTCTTTGTGTTGTTTGCATGTCTGTAGGCCTGGCTGAGGACCTACGCTCACTTCTTTGTGTGAGCTGACTAGCGGCTAAAGCCAAGCAGTGTAGGAGCGTCCACACAGTGCAGTACATGCTCTGTGAATTGCCTCCGGTCTGCATTTGCCCGTGGGGTAGAGTGAGGGCGGGCTTGCAGCCTCGCCAGGGTTTGCCTGCCTTAGGGGCTCACCCTAGGCTGGCAGGAGCCTTGCCCTCCCTGATGAAAATGCTCCTGTCTGGTCGCAGAGGTCTCCGTTCAAATAGCGCTTCTTCAGAAAGGTCTCGGCCACTCAGAGCTCAGGGGTCAAGGTGTGTGTCACCGTCCTACGTGGCTGTCCACTGCATCCTCCCTCCCACCCAGGAAAGCAGGTGTGTGGTTGGCACAGTGGAGTTTGCGTGTGGGGAAGGTGTGCCCACGGCCTGCCAGAAGATGTACCCGCACTGTGCTCAGATGATGCTAGGAGCAGTTTGCCCCAGACTTGTGGAAAAGGAGAGTGCACGTGTGGAAATAACTCACTCCGTCCGTGTTGGAGGAGCGCGAGACAGAAGGCTGCACTTGCCGCCTGCCTTCCGCAGTCTTTCTCCTCCTGGCGAGTGAGCGGTGTGAGGGTGAAGGAAGGGTGCTGCAGTCACTTAGGGTCCATGTGTGTGGGCTCAGGTTGGAGTCCACGTTATGGGTTAGGACAACAGTGGCAGGGATATGTCGTGTCACATGTCCATGGAAAGGCGTGTGCTGGTAGGGCTCAGGCCCGTGCGGAGACCCTGGCCCAAGACCGAAGTGGCCAGCTGGTGCTGTGTGTGAAAGGCGTGGGAGCCAGGTGCTGAGGTTGGAGGGTGAGGTGTGAGGAAGCGACTCCGGGCAGTGCCCTTCCTTCGGGGGCCTCTGTGGGAGCGTGTGTGACCCCCCGGGCGTGCCGTCATCCCTGGGCAGCCCGTGCCCTTCCTGGCTGAGTGCAGTTTTGCTCAGAGAAGTCTGACTGTGTTTTTCAGGTGGAACGTTGAGAATTTATGCAGACAGTTTAAAGCCGAACATCCCCTACAAGACAATCCTGCTGTCCACCACGGACCCTGCAGATTTTGCTGTGGCCGAGGCGCTGGAGAAGTACGGCCTGGAGAAGGAGAACCCCAGGGACTACTGCCTTGCTCAGGTGAGTGAGGCCACCAAGGCCACGGCCACAGCCCTGCTGTGTGTGCTGAGACTTCCACGGCCACAGCCATGGCCACAGCCCCTTCTGGGGTCTCTGCGATGCTTGCCGCGACCGCCAGGGCCGCAGCCGTGTTCCCACCCAGGGTCCCCACTGTGTGTGCTGAGTCCATTTGACACATGCCAGAAGTTTTCTTTTTTTAAGCTTTATTTATTCCTATTGGGAAGTCAAATATACAGAGAGGAGGAGAGACGGAAAGATCTTACATGTGTTGATTCACTCCCTAAGTGACCATAACAACGAGCTGTGCCGATCCGAAGCCAGGAGCCTGGAGCCTCCTTTGGGTCTCCCACGTGGGTGCAGGCTCCTGAGGCTTTGGACTGTCCTCAACTGCTTTCCCAGGCTACAAGCAGGGAGCTGGATGGGAAGTGGGGACACTGGGACACACACTGGCACCCATATGGGATCATGGCACGTGCAAAGCAGGGAGTTTAGCTGTTGGGCTACTGTGCCAGGCCCAGGAGTTTGGATGTAAATGAAGGTTTTCTTTAGCCTGTTAGACCTGGGCTGACCTCCCCACTGTCTGCTTAGAAGCTGATCACTTAAAACCATGTGTTTGACATTTGTAAAAATACAAGTCTCTTTTCAAGGATAGAAGTCTTGTTGGTTACTACATCAAATAGAAAAATAGGAAAAGGAAGACCCCTTCTAATCCTATCAGTTACCAATAAGCCATCAGCATTCTGTCATGTGTTCTTTCATTTACGTTTCGCTTACATGGGTCATTGGATTTTACCTTTAATAACTTTAATAGTCATATATCAGTTCTTGGAGATAAAGGATACTTCTGATTCTAGCACTCAAGTAGTGCAGTGGAGTTTTCTGCTCGGGAGCTGGGGAAGGTGAGGCAGCTCTCCTGCTGGGAGACGCACCCCGACCCTGGGCACTGGGTCAGCTCTGCTCTGGCCCCCTGCCCCCCAGGCCCGGCGAACCAGCAGGTGTGGGCTGCTGGCCGTCGGCTTGTTCCTGGGCCTGGGTGTGGTGGTTTGCCTAGTGGACATTTTTGCTGCCTCTGCTGCTCTGTCTTGGGTTCCACATGAGGAGCTGTGGAGAGCAGTCGTGGACACGCGTGTCTGTGGACGCTCCGTCTGCAGAGGCTCTGTTGGAGGTGGATATGTCATCGCTGAAGGAAGCGCACAGCTGACAGTCCGTTCTGTGTGTTGACTGTGAGCAGGTGCCGTGTTCACGGTGACTAGCCTCCCCGTGGCAGTGTCTAAGTGAGGCTGGTCTGGCTGCGTCTGTTCGGTGCTCCTGTCCACCAGCAGCGTGCAGCTCTTCACTGACTTAGTTCTTAAAGTGAGCGTTGGGGCCCGGCGTGGTGGCGCAGTGGTTGAGGTCCTCGCCTTGCACATGCCGTGATCCCATATGGCTGCCGGTTCTAATCCCAGCAGCCCCACTTCCCATCCAGCTCCCTGCCTGTGGCCCGGGAAAGCAGTCGAGGACGGCCCAAAGCTTTGGGACCCTGCACCCGTGTGGGAGACCCGCAAGAGGCTCCTGGCTTCAGATCGGCATAGCACCGGCCGTTGCATTCACTTGGGGAGTGAATCATTGGACGGAAGATCTTCCTCTCTGTCTCTCCTCTCTGTATATCCGCCTTTCCAATGAAAATAAAAAATCTTTAAAAAAAAAAAAAAAGAAGTGAGTTGTCCCTTCCTTGTTAGCTGCAGATGGAGTTCGACAGAAGAACCTTGTTGCTGAACATCTAACTCTTCTTCTTGGTGGGGCATGGCTAATAGAGCCATAGTTTGGAGCGTGTATTCCAATGTTCAAGTGCTTTGCTCAAATTGAAATGACAGAGAAGAAACAAACCTGGTGGAACTGTGCAGGAGTGAGAGTATCGGAGCTGTTAGAGGGCTGTGCAGATGGCAGTGGGCTTCCCTAGCTGTGGATGGAGAGCCCAGGGCGTGCCGCGTGCCACAGAGTGAGAGGCCTTGGAGGCTGAGAAGAAACGCGGTCGGAAAGTCGCCAAGTGGGAGACTTGTCCAGACCTCCTTTTGTGTCCCACGTAACGTGTCAGCTGTGCCAGGGAAAGCTGGCCTGATGCAAGGGGGCAGTCGGGAGGCCTCGCATTACGTGGCAGAGTGGCTGGTCCCTGCTGAAGGCAGCGGGTAATGTGAACAGTTGTTCCAGAAGCTTGGTGGACCAACTCCCCCCAGAAAGGGAGAATGAGTGTTGGGCACGTTGGTCCACTGCCCTCACCCCGAGACCTCCCGTGGGACTTGTGGCTCCTGCTCTGTGGGGATTTGCCACTCGACACAGCGGAGAAACTGTGCTGGGCCTGCTGGACATGGAGACAGACCTGGGAGAGCAGTGAGCAGTACATAGAGCAGTCTGCGGTGAGGGCTGGGCTGTCCCGGAAGAGGCAGAGGAGCACTTCCTGGAAATGACAGCGCTGGCGGGGGCAGGGTGTGGAGTGGCTGTTCGGGGGAGTGGACGGTAGACACAGAGGAAGAAGACAAGAAGTTATGTTCTTGCTTTAGGCTGACCCAGGTGTAGGTGAGGAGGTGGGGACGAAGGTGTGGGCTGCCATGGCTGCCATGCCGTGCCCTGCTGGACAGTGGTATGATTCCTTGGAAAGACCTAAACCAAAGCATGTTTGAAAATGTAGAAAACTAGGGGAAAGGATAAAATGTTTTCATTTAAATAAAGATTAGGGATTAAAATTGGTGCAGTCTTTTTGGAATGCTGTGAAATAATACTCTCAAATGTAGAGTGAAATGGTTTTCCTTCTAGATTTGATCAAGTAATCAGGTGAAGAAAATAAGGACGCTTCAAACCCTTCACGGCAGAAACAGAACAGGGCTGGGTCTGTGGCATGGCGGGTGGAGCCACGGCATCCCATGTGGACACTGATCGGAATCTTGACTGCCTCACTTCCAGTCCAGCTCCCTGTCACTAGCCTGGGGAAACAGCAGAGGACAGCTCAAGTGTCTGGTCCCCTGAGCCCATGTGGGAGACCCCAGTGAAGCTCCTGGCTCTGGCCTAGCCCAGTTCTGACCATTTCGGCCATCTGGGACGTGACTCAGTAAAGGATCTCTCACAGTCTCTCTCTCGCTCTCTTTTCTCTCCAGCTCCAAGGTTCAAGTAAAGACCAAGAATCTTAAAATACAAAGAGATGAAAATCCCAGAACTGTCATGCCTGCTTCTCAGTAATTATCCAGCGAAATGATAGAGTGGGCTAGGACACGGGGAGACACGGGGAGACATGGGGAGACACGGGACCTAGAAAAGGATTTGTGTGGAGATAAGGGAGTTTCAAGGACTAATCAGGGAAGAGGAGGACAGACGCTGGGCCCAAAACAAAACCTGGCCAGTAAGCAGGGCAGACAGGCTGGAGGGTCCTGGGGAGCGCCTGGTGGCTGTCTGCCTGGTGGAGTGCCTGCAGTGGGGGCCACCTGGTGACTGTCTGCCTGGTGGAGTGCCTGCAGTGGGGGCCACCTGGTGACTGCCTGGTGGAGTGCCTGCAGTGAGGGCTGCCTGGTGGCTGTCTGCCTGGTGGAGTGCCTGCAGTGGGGGCCGCCTGGTGACTGCCTGGTGGAGTGCCTGCAGTGGGGGCCGCCTGCTGACTGCCTGGTGGAGTGCCTGCAGTGGGGGCCGCCTGGTGACTGCCTGGTGGAGTGCCTGCAGTGGGGGCCGCCTGGTGGCTGTCTGCCTGGTGCTGTGCCTGCAGTGGGGGCCGCCTGGTGGCTGTCTGCCTGGTAGAGTGCCATGGAGTGCCTGCAGTGGGGGCCGCCTGGTGGCTGTCTGCCTGGTGCTGTGCCATGGAGTGCCTGCAGTGGGGGCCACCTGGTGGCTGTCTGCCTGGTGCTGTGCCATGGAGTGCCTGCAGTGAGGGCCGCCTGGTGGCTGTCTGCCTGGAAGAGTGCCTGCAGTGAGGGCCGCCTGGTGGCTGTCTGCCTGGTGCTGTGCCATGGAGTGCCTGCAGTGGGGGCCGCCTGGTGGCTGTCTGCCTGGTGCTGTGCCATGGAGTGCCTGCAGTGGGGGCCGCCTGGTGGCTGTCTGCCTGGTGGAGTGCTATGGAGTGCCTGCAGTGAGGGCCACCTGGTGGCTGTCTGCCTGGTGGAGTGCCTGCAGTGGGGGCCGCCTGGTGGCTGTCTGCCTGGTGAGTGCCTGCAGTGGGGGCCGCCTGGTGGCTGTCTGTCTGGTGCTGTGCCATGGAGTGCCTGCAGTGGGGGCCACCTGGTGGCTGTCTGCCTGGTGGCGTGCCTACAGTGAGGGCCGCCTGGTGGCTGTCTGCCTGGTGCTGTGCTATGGAGTGCCTGCAGTGGGGGCCGCCTGGTGGCTCTCTGCCTGGTGGAGTGCCTGCAGTGAGGGCCACCTGGTGGCTGTCTGCCTGGTGCTGTGCCATGGAGTGCCTGCAGTGGGGGCCGCCTGGTGGCTGTCTGCCTGGTGGAGTGCCTGCAGTGAGGGCCGCCTGGTGGCTGTCTGCCTGGTGCTATGCCGTGGAGTGCCTGCAGTGACAGCTAGGGACACAAGGCACGGTGTTTGGAAACATGGTGGCAGATTTACTCTTTCCTTTTTTAAAGATTTATTTATTTTTGAGATTTACTTGTGACATATAAAATAAACGCCTGAATGGATTTCTACAAGCTCATGTTTTGTACTGTGGTGTGTATAGCAGTAACGAGAAGCACATGACTACTAAACATGGTGTCAAACCAAGACATAACAAATTAGATCTGTGCCAGCTAACCTACAAATATGGCTTTAAGGAAGTGTGTTTTGGAAAAGCAGTCATCTTAAACCAAGCAGGAGCCTGCAAGCCTGTTCTGAGTGCAGGTCCTGAGAAAGTGCTGCGCCCAGGCCTTGGGCAGGTGGGAAGGCAGACTTCTGAGAGGAGAGGGCTGGTTTCACTGTTTTCGGGGAGCCTGTGTCCAGATCGGGCTGCCTTGAGGCGGGGCCTGGGCGGGCGAGCTAGCCTGGGAGTTTATGGATGTGCTGCTGCACAGCCTCCTTTCCTCAGTTCTCACTACGTGGAAATAGTACTTGCAGATGACTCCTCATAGAGCGAGCCAGGCATGCCCACGGTGGGCTCTGGACCCAGAGATTGTCTCGTGCCTGGCTGGGGTGAAGGCAGTGGGCTTGGGTCATCAGGGTCATGATGCGTTCCCTCTGAAGCAGCAGTCAGCGGTGTGGAAGACAGTGTGGGCACTTGCTGCTTGGCACTGGAGGAGGAAACAGGAGGATGCGCTTTGCACAAGTCCTTGGCAAGCACTGCTGCAAAGCTGAGGCAGGCCCTGTGAGCAGGGGAGCCTGTGGCTAGGAGGCTGCTCTCTGAGTGTTCCTGTACTGCCATTGGGTACTGGCCCTGTGCAGAGCGCCTCACATGCTGTTCCTGTGCCCCCTGTTGGGTAGTGGCACCGTGCAGAGCACCTTGGGTGCTGTCCGGCCTGCTGCTCTTCCCATGGTCTGGGCTGTGCCTGCCTCTGCACACTGCAAGCGGCCATGGGAGCGCCTGTCTGTGTGGCGTGGCCTGTGTCTGCCAGGGGAATGTTCCATGTAAGAGGTGCCACTCCCTGCCGTCGTGTCAGCGTTGTATCCTTGGAGCAATCTGCTGGTCTGAGCCTGAAGTTACAAAGGCTCATGGTCCCTTTGAGACCATTTGATGCCCTCTCTGTTGGGTTTGCTGCTGTATTTCCCCACCAGCTTTGTTTGCAAGCTTTGGCAATGTAAATTGAGTTGATTTTCTCAGTTTCCTGTCAGACATCGTGGCCAGTTAAGCAGTCTTCATTTACCTATGTGTTACTGACTAGATACGAGGCTCAGTGGTGGTCTGAGGTCCTCTCTGTTAGGTGGCCATGCTGACCTGCAGAGGGCCAAGGCCAGGCTTCCTCAGTGGCACTGTGTGTATGCCGAGGTTGTGTGGCTGCTTGCCAGGCGAGAGAGGTGGGGCAGTGCTTTCCAGGCTGAGGGGAGAGGGAGCATGGGTGGTGTGGCCGGGAAGGCCTGGCACAGACTGAGTTCAGTGGGTGTTGTGAAGAGGGTGGTGGTCAGTTTAATGAGTGCCACTGCGCATCTGTCTCCTGAAGGTGATTGGGCGTGCTGTAGATCCCCAGGGAGGACACAGGATGGCGTGTGTTTACCTGAGCTCCGATTGAGTCCGTGTAATAAACACGAGTAGATGCCCATGTGGCATTAGTGAGTGCCCCAGCTGGGTGAGGCTGCAGTGGAACCATGGGCCCACTGAATGGTGTGACCAGCTGGATGATGCCTCTGTCTACTTCCTGCTATTACTTGATGCTGCTTTGGGCTTCTCGGAAGATTCAGAAAATGGCTTGAGCATGGTAAAACCACAACAAAACCAACATAGCCCTGTGATTTTGTGAGCACTGTCGTGATTGACCTCAGACATGGGGGGCCGTGGGAGAAGGACCCTGCTCCTAGTGTCATGCTGCGGGCCACTCTAAGAGCGATTGTTGCAGTGTGCAAAGTTGGGATAGGGACCAGGGGGATTAAACTCTGCAATAATGATGTTATCTTTGGTTAAGTTGGAAAGTTGGCCACTATAGGTGTCCTTTCTGAGTGACAGTGTATGAAAAATAACAATTGTTCTGTTCTTTCTGTCTTCAGGCCTGGTGAGTGACAGCCGCTGGATTGGTTGCCTTGGCTTTAATTAGGATGTCCCTTTGATGGAGTGGTTGTGCTGGGTGGGACCTGTGGTGCAGGTGCAGCTGCTGATCACCTGGGTGTATTCATAGCCATGTGTCTTTTCTCGAAGGTTCTGCTTCCTCCGGGAGCCCAGCATTCTGATGACAGAGGTGCCCAGGAACTGGTTCTGGAGGACGATGAGTGCCCGCTGCAGATCTTCAGGGAGTGGCCTGCTGACAAAGGTGGGTGCTTGGGGTTCCTCTGAATGCATCGTGCCGGCTGTTCAGCTGCTCTGACCACAGAGGAGGTCCTTGTGTGACATCGGGCCCTTTTCCACCTGCTCCTTCAGCAAGCTGAGCTTTCCCTGCTTTGCCCCCACGAGGCCTGCATGACCGGTACTAGCACAGGTGCGTGTGTGGTCTGCTGCTCTGTGACATGTTGAGCAGGGGTGCAGCCTGCTGTGGGCTTGTCGCTGCATGGGAAGTCCTGACGGTTGCCAGCAACTCAGTGCTTGCAGATACATGTGGACTCATCCTTGTCTGTGGTGCCTGAGAACTGTTCAGGATCTTGGATGCAAAGTTAGAAGCATGGTGTACGTAAGTGCCTGAGTGTACTGTGGGTGAAGCCTGACGGTGGTTTAGTGCCTGCAGGAGGTCCATGTGGCATTCCCCGAGCATGCCCAGTGCGGTCAGCGCTCCGAGCTTCATCCCCGAGCATGCCCAGTGCGGTCAGCGCTCCGAGCTTCATCCCCGAGCATGCCCAGTGCGGTCAGCGCTCCGAGCTTCATCCCCGAGCATGCCCAGTGCGGTCAGCGCTCCGAGCTTCATCCCCGAGCATGCCCAGTGCGGTCAGCGCTCCGAGCTTCCGAGCATGCCCAGTGCGGTCAGCGCTCCGAGCTTCATCCCCGAGCATGCCCAGTGCGGTCAGCGCTCTGAGCTTCATCCCCGAGCATGCCCAGTGCGGTCAGCGCTCCGAGCTTCATCCCCGAGCATGCCCAGTGCGGTCAGCGCTCCGAGCTTCACTGTTCAGGATGCTCCACTTGGGCAGTGTTCAGTTTCCCCTGGTTATTCCAAAGGGGTAAAGGTTTAATGTTGTGTTTCTGATGAAACTTTTTTTTTTTTTTTTTGCTTGTAAAGACTTACATTTCAAGTTGGCTGTTACTGCTCAGTGGAAGGCCTTTGCATTACTGAAGATGCGAGTTAACTGTATCAACATTGAAGATGTGTCTGTAGTTGTAAAGCAGAATCAGTGAGCCGATTTCTGTTCCCGCGAGTGGTGCCGCAGTAACTGGCATTCCATATCTGAGAGTTGGTTTGAGTCCCAGCTCTCTGCTAATGGACCTGGAAAAATGGTTGATGATGGTTCAGAACTTGGGTCCCTGCCCATGCCACCTTCCGCCTGGAGCAGCTTTAGTCCTCGCAGCCGTTGGCCTGTGCACCAGTCGATGGAAGATCCCCGGCCCGTCTCCGTCAGTTTACTTTGTAAAAAAATAAGTCCTTTAAAAAATGCTTGCTTCAGTCCATTTTCAAAAGAAGATTTAGTTTTTTTCTAATTGGAGAAACAGATTTACAGAGAGAAGGAGATACAGAGAGAAAGATCTTCTGTCAGTTCACTCCCCAAGTGGCAGCGATGGCTGGAGCTGAGCTGATCCGAAGCCAGGAGCCAGGAACTTCCAGGTCTCCCACGCGGGTGCAGGGTCCCAAGACTTTGGGCCGTCCTCGACTGCTTTCCCAGGCCGTGGATGCAAAGTAGAATAGCCAGGACATGAACTGGTGCCCATATGTGATTCCTGCACATGCAAGGCAAGGATTTATCCACTAGACTATCGCGCGGGGCCCTGTTTGAGTCCATTGGAAAAAAAAAGTTCTTGTTTTTATTTTAAAGGCAGATTTTTACAGATTTTACAGGGAGAGAAAGATCTTCCATCTGCTGTTTCACTCCACAAATGGCCACGACAACCAGAACTGAGCTGATGGGAGCTGGGAGCTTCTTCAGGGTCGGCTGCATGAGTTCAGGGTCCCAAGGCTTCAGGCCATTGATGGGGAGCTGGTTGGGAAGTGGAGCAGCCAGGACCTGAACCGGCACCCGTGTGGGGTGTTGGCACTACAGGCAGAAGTTAGCCTGCCACTGCACTGACCTGTTTAGCACTTTTTCTAGACAGAATAAGCTTAATCAATTTCTTTGGATTCTGAGTTGAGTCTAATAAAAGCCAATTGACTTTTAGTATGTTTTATATATTTACTTGAATGTGAGTGTGTGAATATATTTACTGATTATAGGTTTATTTATGAACAGAACTTTTCATTTGTTTCTAAAATAATGGAGTCTGAGCATCCTGGCCAGTTTGCCAAGTGCTCACTCCAGGTATTCTGCCAGGTGTTAGCTACAGGTCCTCTGGGGCCTTCGTGGCCTGCTGGCAGCTGGGGACCAGCGTCCTCTGGGGCCATTGTGGCCTGCTGGCGGCTGGGGACCAGCGTCCTCTGGGGCCGTCATGGCCTGCTGGCGGCTGGGGACCAGCGTCCTCTGGGGCCGTCATGGCCTGCTGGCGGCTGGGGACCAGCGTCCTCTGGGGCCGTCGTGGCCTGGCTGGCGGCTGGGGACCAGCGTCCTCTGGGGCTGTCTTGGCCTGGCCGGCAGCCGGCAGCCGGCAGCTGGGGTCCCGGGCCTGGGCTGACCTGCTTTGTACCATTGCAGGGATACTGGTGTTCCAGCTGAAGAGGAGGCCGCCGGACTCGGCCCCCGCCAAGGTGAAGAAGCACGGTGAGGGGAAGCTGCTGCGGGGCAGGGAGCGGGCCGAGGGCCCCGGCACTGGCTCTGCCCTTCCGCCCGAGAAGCTGCCCTACCTGGTGGAGCTGAGCCCAGGTGAGAGATGGGAGCACTGTGTGTGGGAGTGAGGGTCGAGGGACAACCTTCATCTTGCTGTCTTAGAGGAACTAAGAGAAGGTTCCTTGTTACTAACAGACTGAGACTGGCTTCTTCAAGGGCACATGAAGAGCCGTGTGCTCAGGACTGCTTGCACCGTATGGGCAGCAGCTAAAAACAATGGCTTTCAGTTTCAAAGTGGACGTGTAAAATCATGGCATAAGGGAGGATACCTGGTCTTAAAACAGCAGACTAAGTTTGTTTGCTGCTCAGTTGAGACCTTCCGGGCTGAAGGTGTGAGTTAGCCGCCCCATGGGAAATGCTGCACGTTCCGAACGATGATGCATGTTCACCCTGCATGTGTGTGCTGCATGTGACTGCGCCAGTCCTCCGCTGCCATTGTGTGCCCTATGCTGTCAAACACTCATGACTTTTCTAGAAACTGCATTTAAATGAAACTCAGCTAGTTATTCTGTTGTGTAGCTGATTGCGGTTCTGCAGCGGGGGCTCTGCTGCCGTTCTCTGAGCCTCGATTGTGCATTCTGCGTGTGAACTTGCTGGCATGTGGGCTGCCTCTGTGGGTGAGCTGAGGCTGAGCAGTGCCCTTGGGGCTTCGTGCCAGTCCTTTGCAGTGAGGTATCCTGTCCTGGGGTGCGTCTGCAGCGTGAGGGGCGTGTGGCCTACCCCTGGCTGCACTGAGGGGCGTCTGGGGAGTGTATGGCCTGTCCCTGAGGGGCGTGTGGCCTGTCCCTGGGGGGGCGTGTGGCCTGTCCCTGGGGGGGCGTTGTGGCCTGTCCCTGGGGGGGCGTGTGGCCTGTCCCTGGGGGGCGTGTGGCCTGTCCCTGGGGGGCATTGTGGCCTGTCCCTGGGGACGTGTGGCCTGTCCCTGGGGGGCGTGTGGCCTGTCCCTGGGGGGGCGTTGTGGCCTGTCCCTGGGGGGCGTGTGGCCTGTCCCTGGCCTGTCCCTGGGGGGACGTGTGGCCTGTCCCTGGGGGCGTGTGGCCTGTCCCTGGCCTGTCCCTGGGGGCGTGTGGCCTGTTCCTGGGGGCGTGTGGCCTGTCCCTGGGGGGCGTGTGGCCTGTCCCTGGGCGCACTGAGGGGCGTGTGGCCTGTCCCTGAGGGGCATGTGGCCTGTCCCTGGCCTGTCCCTGGCCTGTCCCTGAGGGACGTGTGGCCTGTGGATCTTGGCAGGCATTGGGTCAGCGCTCCGTAGCTTCACGTTGGTGTGGTGGCATGGCAGATTGTTGTCTGCAGATCTGAGTTGCTGAGGCTGGAGGGCTGCAGCCCTTAGGGAGGTCGCGGGGCAGTGAGCGGTGTGCTGCAGTGAGGAGCGGAGAGCTGAGGGCAGCTGCATGTGTTGTGTGTTGATCCCATGGTGGTTGCTGTGCTCCGTGCTTGTGGCCCACCCAGGCCCGCAGGCCTCGTGCGCAGCCGAGCACGGGCTGTCGGCAGGTGCTGTCTCCTCTTCCCTCCACGCTTGCGGTTTATTGCTTCGGCACATAGAAGTGTGTGTGCTTAAGGCATGGGAAGATAGAGCCCCGATGAATATCCTTTTGTCCTGCTGCCCAGATGTTGGGGCTTGTGACCTGCACTGCAGGCTTACTCCCAGCTGGCCCCCACTCCGCAGTCTGCTTGGTGTCTGTAGAGCTGTCCCCTTAGGCCCAGCAAGGGATGTGAGGTGTGGAGGTGGTCGTGATCCCCACGCTGGGAGCCGGTCCTGCACACTCTAGGCCGCACAGCCTGCGAGGCTTGGGCGCTGGAGCAGTGCTCAGGGCTCGCCAGTTGCCTGGTGTCATGCCGGCATGCTGCGTGAGATAGCTATGTGTCCTTTGCGAGGCAGTAGCCTGCCTGCCAGGTGTCTGTTGTGAATGGTAAGTCCTGTGTTCCCTGCATGGCGCCAGGCACACATATCTTGTGTGAGGAGGACCTGTGGTGAGAGAGGCGGCCTCTGAGACGGAGGGCTGTGCATGCGGGCGCGGGAAGACACACTCTGGTGTTCTTTGCTTTGGACCTGTTGAGCAGCAGCTAGCCAGGTTGGGTGGTGCCCCCTGGTGGCACGCTGTTGTCCTGCACCGGGCTCTACCTGCCGGGCCCTGCAGGGTTCCTCACAGCTCGCACCCCTCTCCCTCTGCATCACGTCTCACGGAACTCACCCTCTGCGTCTCTCCTCCCTCCCTCTCCCGTGTGCTCTGCGTGGTCTCTGCTGCCGGCGCTGCCTTCACCTGGGCCCCGGCGTGGGTCTCACCCCAGGGAGAAGGAATCACTTTGCCTGCTCCAGCTATCACACTGGTGAAGGTAACGCTCACCTCGTAAGGTAATGCTGACAGCCTGCGGGCCGTGAGCCTCGCACCTCAGTTTCTTCACTTCACTTGGTAGACTCAGCATGCCACTCAGTGACTCAGACCTAGTCCCTCACCCAGGACGAGTTCCACGCCCCAGCCTCTTGCTTGGCTCTTGTCCAGGTGCCCTGCGCACACACACCGTGTCCCCAGCACCGTGGACCCACGTGCCTGAGCTGATAACGCTCTCCTGGCATGCTGCGGCCCCAGCAGAGCCGCATGCCGGGTGCACGAAGACTCTCGGATGGGGGTGTGGGGCAAGCCCATGCCCGAATCCAGCAGAATCCAGTGTGGGAAGCGCTGGTCCTCAGGCAGGGTGAGGGCCCGCAGGCTGTGTCTGAGGGCTTTGGTGAGAGCACTGTGGGCCGGTACCTGCCGGGAGGGGTGCTCAGGTGTTCGGGGCAGAAGTTCAGGACCTGTGGGGCCCCTGTGGAGGAAGGGAGATCATGGGGAGCTGTGTGTTAGCTAGCAGCTTGGCCTGCCCAGTGATGTGTCCCCCGAAGTCCTGGGGTGGCCCTGAGGTCCTGCAGAGTCGCAGAGGGCTCCCTCTCTGGTCCCTGTGGCTGACCTGCAGCAGGGAGAGCACAGAGCATGGTTGGGAAGGCCGTAGGTTCGAATCCCTATTGCTGTACTCAAAGGGTCACAGTGGGAAGCTGGGAAGGCAGCTTGCCTTTTTTTTTAATTTCCAGCTCTTCTAGGTAGGAATGTTTGCTTTTTTCTTACCAGCATTCCAAACCCACAATGACATTCACACTTATTTCAGTGTCCCCTCTAGACAGGCAGACTGCTCGTCTCCTTAAGTATTTCCAGCTGTGCAAGGAAGTGATCATTCTTCCAGCACACCTGGTTACGTCTTTGCTTCCTTACAATGTCTTGGGACTTCCTGATTGTGTTAAATTTCCCAATTTTCATTTCTAGTATAATTACTTATTCTTGGCAAGCAGGTCTTTATTTATTTATTTATTTGACAGTTCAGAGAGATTTCCAAGCAGGCTCAGCAGCTGGGGCTGGGTCAGTTCAAAGCCCCGGAGCTTTGGTGCAGGGACCAAGCACATGGGCCCTCTTGAGCTGCCTTCCTAGGTGCCTTAGCAGGGAGCTGCATCAGAACTGGATCTGCCAGGACAAGAACTGGTGCCCACGTAGGATCCTGTATATGTCTGCTGCCATACAACACTGGCCTCAGAGAGCATTCAAACCTTGCCGTCCAGTGGGCTCAGAGATGGAGGAGACCGGGGCAGCTACGGCTGGGGAAGTGGAGGGCGGTGGGGTCCTGGGGGACAGGGGAAGGACACTTGTGCTCCCAGGCCAGTTCTTGGAGCTGTGTGAGGTGTGGACAGTGAGTAGAGGCTGCACCTTCAGGTGTGGAGCAGGTCCTGGGGTCAACTGGAGCTGGCCGTCACTGCCCCAGTACTCTAGCACGCCTTGGAGCAGCAGCACAGGGCTCCAGGCGTCCATGCCTGAGATGGCACTGCCCCTCCCTGCTGCCTTCGCAAGGAGCGAATTTTGCCATCCTCCTGCTGCCTGTGGGCGCTGCGCCAAGCCTCAGCTCTGACACACACGTGTTCCTGGTATCTGATGTCTGTAAGAGGCCGGCAGGCTGCGGGCACACTGTGCCCTCTAGAAGGCTGAACTGTTTAAGATTTATTGGTTGGAAAGGCAGAGTTCAAGGGTGAGGGCGAGATAGAAGTCTTCCATTGACTGTTCCATTCCCCACATGGCCACAAAGGCCAGCGCGGGTCCAGCGTGAATCCAGGAGCACCTGGGCGCAGGGGCCACAGGCGAGGGCTGCCCGTCCATTAGCAGAGAGCTGGAAGGGAAGTGGGGCGGCCAGGACTTGAACTGGTGCACGTAGGCCAGTCATGATGCAGTGTTGGCCCAGTGATGATGGCGAAGCCCCTGGAGCTTGTCACCTTCATTTGAGCAGTGCGTGAGTCTAGCTGCAAGTTAGTGATGTTGCAACTTACTGGCTAGGCCTGAAGCAGGGAGGTGGATCTGGACGCGAAGCTGGCACTATGCTGGGGATGGCAGTATGGGCTGCAGCTGGACACGAGTGGGTTTTCAGTCAGCAGTCCGCATTGGTAGGTAGCAGGGTGTCGGTCAAGTGCTTGGTGGAAGGGGGGTGCCGAGGGTGGGTGGAGGAGAGGAGGCTGGCCTGCGCGGGGGCTGGGTCTTGGGCGGCACCGCCTCGGCCTCACTCCCAGCCTGGCCTGACCCAGCAGTGCATGCTCAGGGAGCAGAGGCTCCGACACTTCCCTTCCATGAGCGGAGGCTGCCCTTCCCCGGGGCTGGCTGCCGGGCCTGCCGCTGAGGACCCGTCCCTAGGAGCTTGTTAGGAGGGGGTGAGCCAGGACGAGTGCATGTTGGGGGTCTGGCTTCCTGCCGGGCTGGCGCCTTGGGAGTACTGGGTGGTGGCTCAGGTGACGCGGTCGTGCCACCCACAGGAGACCCCTGGGCCACAGCAGGTAGAGACCCTCACATAGATCAGGCAGAAATAGAGCAGCCCTTGCCCGCCGCACAGCCCACACTGCACTCCGGGTCTGCTCAGTCACAAGTGTAGGAAGCAGAACCTCCGGAGGGTGGAAAGCTCGTGGGGCTTTGAGGATTTTCTTTTTTAATAAATAGAATTCCTCAGAGACCCTCATGGCGAATCAACAGGCTAATCCTTTGATTTGCAGCGCCAGGATCCCCTGTGGGTGCCGGCTCTAATCCCGGCAGCCCCGCTTCCTTTCCAGCTCCCTGCTTGTGGCTTGGGAAAGCAGTCGAGGACAGCCCAAAGCCTTGGGACCCTGCACCGCGTGGGAAACCGGAAGAAGCTCCTGACTGTAGACCATATTGACTTGGCTTGCCTTGGTTCTGGCTGTAGTGTTGTCATTTGGGAAGTGAACCAGTGAATGGAAGATTTTCTCTGCCTCTTCTTTGTATGTCTGCCTTTCAAATAAAAATAGATCTTTTTAAAAATGAAATGAAATTTCATCTTAGACTCACTAACCCCTAGGAGCCAGTGGTCAGGACGTGTGGGTGTGATAAGCCTTGCACCCAGAGATGGAGCCAGTGCTGTAGTGTGGACAGAGGCCTCTCCGTGGGGAGTTGGGGAGGCGTGCTCAACAGTGAGGTGTCAGGGTCTTTTCCTGGATGGTGGCTTGTTGGCTGGGTGGGTGTGGGTGGTGTGGCAGTGGGTGGTGAGCCTTTGCCAATGGGGCACTGTCTTCTTGCAGATGGTTCTGACTCCAGGGACAAGCCGAAGCTCTACCGCCTGCAGCTGAGTGTGACGGAGGTGGGCACAGAGAAGTTTGACGACAACTCCATCCAGGTGCGTCTGCTGCTCTCCGCAGTGGCTGTGTGGTGGCCGTGGAAATGACCCAGGCCACAGTCCTCTTCCCTGTCCTGTCCAGCAGGACAGTCAACGGGGGTCGCAACCACCTAGGAGAGATTGGGGGACAAGAGACACGAAGAATGGACAGCAAGACAGGATGTCTGATCAAGCTGTCAGTTTATTGATTTTAGCTGAGGGTTTTTATACTCTTCAGTAACTAAGGCTCAGGGAGGAAAAGAGAAACTAGGACGCAAGCCATGGTCTCCAGACCGATTGTTGTTGAGCAATCACCATATCCACAATAGTAACCAGCATATCAACAATAGCATAGGTAATCAGTAACATGATGCCGGCAGGTACAGCATAAATCACATTCTGAAACAGTTGCTACAAACAACTGAAGCTAAGCGTGTGATTAGTTTCATAACTTCTTTCCCAAGCATCTAGCCAGCCGGGGATTTTCCACTGGCCCATAGTTCTATATTCAAAATGGCTTCAGTGTGGCTACAGTACACGGCACCTGACACTTTCCGTGTGAAACAGACTGGTGGGCTTCCTTTACCCCCAGCCCGCCAAAACCTGGGCTTATGATCGCCTGGCGTGGCACCCATCACGTGGCAGTGGGCACACATCTCTCTAGCTCACAGGCCCCAGGTAGCATGGTGTGGCACATGGCAGTGGGCACGCATCTCTCCAGCTCACAGGGCGGTTGCAGGGCCCAGGCAGCGTGGCGTGGCACATGGCAGTGGGCACGCATCTCTCCAGCTCACAGGGCGGTTGCAGGGCCCAGGCAGCGTGGCGTGGCACATGGCAGTGGGCACGCATCTCTCCAGCTCACAGGGCGGTTGCAGGGCCCAGGCAGCGTGGCGTGGCACATGGCATGTTCTGGGTGTGCTTCCCAGCATTTAGCAAGCTAGCCCGCCATGAGGGAGCAGGCACTGGGGCTGCCCCCTTCGTCTCAGTTCTTCATGAGTCACAGTGCTAGCTGTCCCTTGACTAGTAAACCTTTAGTACTTTCTAATGACGGGCAAAAAAAAAAATCCTGAAGTAATGTTTTTGGATAATAGAAATGGTATTTAATTATTTGACACTATTTGGCAATGTGTAATTACTGTTACACAATTTTGCAGTGAAAATGCATTTTAGGAACCATCAGAAATTCAAGTCTTTCCAGGCTGCAGTTACTGTGAGCGGGGACCGGCTCAGGACCCTGGCCTGGAGTCCCGCCCTGTGAGGGCTCGCGTGGTTTGTGTGTTTTCAGTTGTTTGGCCCGGGGATTCAGCCCCATCACTGCGACCTCACGCACATGGACGGCGTGGTCACCGTGACACCCAGGAGTATGGACGCCGAGACCTTCGTGGACGGCCAGCGCATCTCCGAGACCACCATGCTGCAGAGTGGTGTCAAAGTACAGTTTGGGGCGTCCCATGTGTTCAAGTTTGTGGACCCCAGCCAGGACCACATGCTCGCCAAGAGATCCGTGGACGGAGGCCTGATGATGAAGGGTACCAGGCACAAGGCGGGGTAAGCGCTCAGAGGCGGCCGGCCCAGGGATCTGGGCTTCTGTCTTTATTTTGTTTCAGATAGTATCTTACTTATAGCATTTCTTTATTGGTGGGTCCACAACAATAATGCCTGTCTCTTAATCGTGTTCAATGCAGTTATCTTGTGTAGCCCAGATTTTTAAAAATGAGTTTGTTCAGGGTTTTTGTTGGCCGTTTTTCCCCTGTGATTTTGATACTGAAACACGTTGGGATTGTTCCGGAGTGGAGGACACTTAGCGCCACCTGGTGCTTGCCCGAGGCCTTGCAGTGTAGGCATGCGGGTGGGAAGTCCTGTCTGGTTCTCCAATGGTGACGCTTTCTGGAGGAGCATGCAGGATTTCCCCTTTGATTATGGTCATCTTCCAAGCATGCCGTGTAGTCTCTTGGCTGTGTTGCCTGCTTTTGAGGTACCTGGAGTGCTGGTAGCTTTCGCCCTGTGCTGTGTCCCGGGGCTGCCAGGCTGCTGCCCCAGAGCCGTAGGCCGAGCACCTGTGGCAGCTTTCCCATGCTGCCTGGCCTCTTACTTTGCTCCTTGACTGGCCTGGGGCCGGCCCTTGAGTGCTCAGGCTTTGGCCCAGGTGTTCCTGCGGGCTAACACCCTTCTGCAAGTTAGACACTGGGTGCCTGTCCCGTTGTCATCATTTAGGCAAAGGGACGTCTGGGGTGTGGGCTTGCTGCGATCTGTCCCCAGCCTGTGGTCAACTTGTGGTCCCGCAAAACACCAGCAAGCGTTCTCTTCCCAGTAAAATCCATTTCTTCCTGATCTTGTTTAAACTGTAGACAGGAAGTGTCTCAGAATGCCTGCTTCCATCCTGAGCCTGGGATAGCTTGGGGATGGTCAGGGGTGGCCTGGGGTGTCTCAGACCCTTGGGGCAGTCAGGGGCAGCCTGGCGTGGTCAGGGGTGGCCTGGGCTGTCTCAGACCCTTGGGGCAGTCAGGGGCAGCCTGGCGTGGTCAGGGGTGGCCTGGGCTGTCTCAGACCCTTGGGGCAGTCAGGGGCAGCCTGGCGTGGTCAGGGGTGGCCTGGGCTGTCTCAGACCCTTGGGGTATCTGTTCACAGGTTCTTCTTTGAGGTCCCGGGGGTGGGGGGCTCCCTAGTTCTGGTGCTGTCTCTGTGCTGGAGCACATAGGGGTGCTCCCTGTGCTACGTGCTGGCTGTCCTCGAGGCCTCGCCCTGTTTGGGGTAGACTTGTTGAGGTGGCTGCCGCCCAGGCGGAGTCGCTGTGTGAAGGTGTTGTGGTGTGGTGCTGTGCACTGCTGTCTGCTGCGTTCCCACGTTTCCGTCCTGGTCTGTCCCTCGATGATGGCTCTGCCCGGGTGGCGCGTTCAGCCCTGGCCGTGCTCCCGCACTCGGCTTGCAGATGTCCTCAGCAGCGTCTTCCGGCGTGTCAGTCTCTGCCCTGGGGTTTGCCGTGTGGCCCCTGCCTCAGAAGTCGGCGGTCTCTCTCCAACTGTGTCTCGGCCAGAGGTGGAAACCACAGGGGATTGTGGCTTAGGTGTCAGTGAGGAGAATGGCTGTGAAATTTATATTTTATAGTTTTTTGACAAAGCTAGTAGTAACTATTTAGTGAATGAATGTGTCATTTATAATGTGGAAAGGACTTGCCTTATTCTAGATGTTGACATTCTGAGTAAGTAACTCAGTTTGCTCGTGCAGACTTCGGCCCGGCCTGCTGTCGTAGTGTGCAGCCAGGGTGGCCTTGACGTCCTTGGGGGCTGGGCCTTAGCTGCCAGCCCATGGTGCGTGCCTCGCTGTGCTGCCTGCGTGCCGGGGAAGGGCACAGGGCACGGTGCTCCCGGCTGACATGAACGCCGAGCGGAAAGCGTTCGTTTTACACCAGCCAGAAAAGTGGGTAGTGTTTTTTTTTAAAATAAAAAAGGTTTTTAAAAGTAAGTTTGGCAGAATTAGAGAGAGGGAGAGATGGACACGAGAGAGAGAGCTTCCGTCTGCTGGCTCGTTCCCCGGATGGCCACGTGACTAGGACAGTCCAAGCCAGGAGCTTTTCTGGGTCTCCCACGTGGACAACAGGCCATGCATTTGTGTAGTGAGTTAGTGGGGAGTTGGCTCCAAAGTGAGATAGTCGGGACTTGAGCCAGTACGCATGGGGTGCCGGTGTCACCGGTAGCAGCTGTTAGCTCCACATGACAGCAGCTGTTCTGATTGTATCATTTCAGGTGCTGAGAACAGAGCACTCTTGAAAAGCTCTTCGGGGCCAGTACATTGGCTTAATTAGCGAATTCTCTGGACACGAGCTTCCCGTACGGGTGCCGGCTTGTGTCCTGGCTGCTCTGTTCCCATCTGGCGCCCTGCTCATGGCCTGGGAAAGCAGCAGAGGACGGCCCAAGTCCTTGGAGTCCCACACACACATGGGGTCCTGGGTTCTTGGCTCCTGGCTTCGGATTGGCTCGTGCCTTTGCGGCCACTGGGGAGTGAGCCAGAGGATGGGAGATCGTTGTCTCTCTTTCTCTCTGTAAAAATCTGCCTTTCAAGCAAAAATAAATAAATGCAAACGATCTTAGAACACCGAATGTTCAGCTGTTACTCTGTATTTTTCAGAAGAGACTAGGAGTTACTAATTGGACGCTTCTTTTCTTGTCCCAGCAGCCTGGTTCAGGAGACAACTTTTGATTTAGGAGGAGATGTGCACAGTGGGACAGCGCTGCCAACCAGCAAGGTAGGTGACCGTTCTTTGCCTGCTGGAGCTGATCCTGTGCGCAGGCGGGCCCAGGGTGGGCGGGTGTGTCCTGTGCGCAGGCGGGCCCAGGGTGGGCGGGTGTGTCCTGTGCGCAGGCGGGGCCCAGGGTGGGCGGGTGTGTCCTGTGCGCAGGCGGGCCCAGGGTGGTCTGACCTCTGGTCGTAGCAGGTTCCTTTTGGCCACCTCTGTGTGCTTGCAGAGCTTTCCGCTTTCGGCTTCTCAGTTGTCATGTTCTGACACTGGCTGCCCTGCTACCTGCTTCAACCCTGGAGGGCCAGTGTGTCAGTTTTGGGGTCCCTTCCCTCATGTGCACACTGCCTGGTGCCCTGCATCATGGCCCACGTGTAGACAGTGGGCTGAACCTGCCCTGGTCGCCTGGGAGTCCTTCCCCATCTGGTTGAACGCATCTGCCTGGTGCCCTGTGATGCACATTCAGGTGGACCGTGTTGGGCCGGCACTGCGAGCCCGGGCTCATGGGCCTGTTCCTCCTCACTCCTGCATGATTACTCATATCCTCTCAGCAACGTGGCCCCTCAGCCTGAGGGACGGCCACAGCGGCCGCTGGTGGGTGGCTCACTTCCCGTGGCTCCCAAGCCAGAAGTCAGTATCTCCATAGTTCCTGTCACCAGAGCTGCCTGCTGCCTCCTCGGCCCATGGCCTCTGTCCTCTTGCACCTGCAGGCACTGTGCCTGTGGGTCAGCTCTGGCCCTTGGCTCTCTTGAGGTCAGAGTTCTGCCTTGTACTGGCCCCGGAGCCTCTGCTTGGGTCCTGTGCCAGCACTGACCCTGGCTGACCTGGTCCTGTTGGTGATGGACCGTGCCGAGTGTGCCCTGCAGCCCATGGTTGCTCAGGACAGCGTCAGTCAGAGCTGCCATGGCCAGTGTCCGAGGCATTGACAGGATGAGGTGTGCTGCCAGCCCAGCAGGAATGTGTGTGACACATCAGGAGCTCACAGTGGAGATGGGTCACTTGAGCATGTTGTCGAGGCTCCCAAACAAACCTGCCAGCTGGGGTGGTCGCTCTGGGTGGGCAGTGCTCCCCTTGGATGTACCTTCCAGCTGGGGTGGTCGCTCTGGGTGGGCAGTGCTCCCCTTGGATGTACCTTCCAGCTGGGGTGGTCGCTCTGGGTGGGCAGTGCTCCCCTTGGATGTACCTTCCAGCTGGGGTGGTCGCTCTGGGTGGGCAGTGCTCCCCTTGGATGTACCTTCCAGCTGGGGTGGTCGCTCTGGGTGGGCAGTGCTCCCCATATCCACCTCTCTGCCTTCCTTCTTGTATCAGTTAGTTGTGTAGGCCTCTGCTAGTTTGTTCCAGTCACTCGAAAGCAAACACTTTGCACTCCCACAGTTTGTTCTGTCCCTGCCCTAGTCCGGTCCTTTCAGAGCAGCTTTGTTGGCGTGAGTGCCAGTGCCAGCCGTGAGCCCGTTTCTGTCCTGTGGGAGAGCTCCCTGCTGACGACCACTGTGCAGTGTAGACATACGGGGGTGAGGATTGTGGTGCAGCGGAATAGCGCATGGCATTGCTGCTGCGTCCTGCAGAAGTGCAGCTGGAGGAAGATATTTCCAAGACACCAAAATTTTTTATAGGGAAGTAGGAGATACATCAGTTGCACATTCATTTCTGGCCGATAAGACAGGAATGATCACTTATCTATGCTCAGTTCTCACCATTTACAGGTGAATAACTGTGACATTTTTGCTGCCATGGGATTTTTTAACACTGCCTGGTGGTTTTCTTACCGTCAGTAACTCCTTCGTCTGCCAAGCAGTGGATAGGACTACGTCCTGTTCAGAAATACTTGAACATATTGCTCTGGAGACTGAAAGTACATTTTCTCCCAATGTTGAGAAGGAGTGAGAATTAAACGAGTATTTACTGAGTTTATTACATATTGTATGAAAATGAACACAACTTTTAAACTTGTTCTTTAAAACTAACCAAAAGGCCCTGCATGGTAGCCTAGCAGCGAAAAGTCCTTTCCTTGTCTTACACGTGCCGGGATCCCATGTGGGTGTCAGTTTGTATCCTGGCGGCCCCACTTCCCATCCAGCTCCCTGCTTGTGGCCTGGGAAAGCAGTCGAGGACGGCCCAAAGGCTTGGGACCTGCACCCTCGCGGGAGACCCGCAAGAGCTCCTGGCTTTGGATGGGCGCAGCTCTGGCTGTTGCGGCCACCTGGGGAGTGAATCGGCAGATGGAAGATCTTCTATTTCTCCTTCTCTGTGTATCTGACTTTCCTATTAAAAAAAATCTTTTTAAAAAAAGTACACAGAAAAACTAATCAAAGACCCCAAAATTTCAGGGACCCAACGCTTCATATTGTACCTGTTTTTCTGAGCTTTGGTTGTTGTTTTAAAGAACTTCTGGAATGGCATCCCACTGCGAGTGTTCTTTCTGAAGGGTGTGCTGTGTGTGTGCTCGGGCCTTGCTCCCTGCCTGAGGTGTGCACCTGCTGGCCCGGGAAGCATCAGGTTTCCATCTGTCTGGGTGTGCACTGAGCCCCTGCCCTCCTCCCCACAGAGCAGCGCCCGACTGGATGGGGAGCGAGCCCATTCTGCCTCTGGTGCCGTGGAGCGAGGCATGGTGCGGCCCATGGTGAGGGCGGCGCAGCCCGCGGACCCCGGCCGACGAGAAGGCAGGTAGGCCGTCTGTGCGTGCTGTGGGGCGTGGACGCAGGCCAGGGCTGGCCGCTGGGGGGCGGCGATGACTGCCGCAGCTCAGGCTGCCCTCCTGGCCTGCTGCCTTGCCCACGGGGCTGCGGTATTGTCCAGGTGCGGTGGGAGGTGCAAGAAGCCAAAATAGTGTTGTTTCAAATGTGCCCTGTCAAATCGCGGTGGAAGAGTTCTCATGATGTCTCTGTATTTGAAAAGTTTAATATTTGGAGAAAACCAGCTGTTTCTCCTATTTCCATGAGAATTCCTCCTGGGTTTCTGAGCTAACCCGTGAGGGAGGTGTTGGAGCCGGTCCCTGCACAGCCCCAGCTGAGAGCATGACCCCCTCAGGCAGCGCTGGGGTCCCTGTGACTACTGAACTGTGTGCCCGTGTGCTAAGGCAATGCCATTGTGCAGACGGTGGTGGCCCGTGTGGATTGTGGGGTGTCCTCGTTCTCAGCAGTGGAGTTGGGAACACTGCTCCCTGCTGTCCCCAGCGTGCCGGAGGCTGTTGCCTGGGGTCTGGAAGCAGGCAGCTCAGGGCACTGGAGAGGCGCCGTCTGGCAGCAGAGGGCACTGTGGCATTGAACGGGCATTCCCACGGCTGTGGCAGGTCCGTCCTGACTGGGGCTGCTGAGTCATTGTTTGCTAACTGTGCCCTCGGCCTAGGTGTGCTCTCAGTGCCCACTGCCCGTGTGCTCCTGGGAGGGAGACCCCGTGAGGCCTGGGCCTTGGTCCTTGCTGTGGGAGCGCTGCTCGTTGGGTGTCAGCAGTGAGCGGCTCTGCAGGGTGAGCTTAGCTTGCTTCGTGCAGACCTGTGCAAGTTCTGCTTGTGCAAGAAACAGGCCTTTGGTGCTCTGAAGAACTGGTGAGAGACGAGCCCTCCTTCCCATCCTTCCCTCGCTCTCTTGGTCACTTGAATAAAGCATACTTTAAAATCCTCTAAGCGCCGTGAATGAACACACCAGAAGGCCTGACTCGAGGCAAGGACAGAAACCTTCTGAATGGCAGCTTTGTCGCAGGGACGTTTGCTTTTCATTTTTCAGTGAAAATTTAAGCTGCTTGTTTTTGATGGATCTGTTAAGATGGTGAGGCAAAAGGTTCCTGTGTGGGACAGTAGACTGAGAATGGCCGCCTCTCTTCAGCGCCAGGTGTGTGTGGAAGGGCTATGGACCGAAAGCCCTGTGAGTGCTCCTGACAGCTGTCCTGGCGGCTCAGTCCCCACTGTCCCCGTGTCCTTGGTGGTCTCTGTTAAGGAGTCTGTCCCCCGTGTCCTTGGTGCCCGTCTTGGGGCACGGAGAAGATGAGGGGTGGAAGGAAAGAATGGTTTCGGCCAGCTGGTCTACATTGTTGTCTCTGACTGCCCAGGTTTCTTGTTTTCTTCTGGAGGGACGGCCGTGTTATCTGCCCTAGTGAGTGCCCCAGCAGTCCAGGCCCTCAGTCCTGTTAGTTCATAACCAGTGTACAGGATAGTTTAGAGTTGTTATCGTAAAACATGCAACCTGGATTTAGAGTATCTTACACATTTTAGAACGACTGTTTAGGAATCTTCTGAAACAGGCTTTACTGTGATCACCACACAGAATCCTGTTTTACATGGCACAGGTGTGTTTGTAGTTGGAAGCTGAGTTCTACAAAGCTGTCGGCCCTGGACTTGCCTTGGGTGTGACCTGTGCTTCATGCTTGGGTTACTGTGTTGTCATAGACGCCGAAACCCATAAAGGGTGGTGCACTGCTGTTTCTTAATGTTCCAGATTATAGGTACCCTTTGTATTTTCTGATGCTGGACAAGACTTTGACCTTGTGTAACCTTAGGAAGTGTGTAAGAGTTGGGTGTCTTCAAAGGTGCGTGTCACGTGAGCCTTGGCCGTGCGGATGACGGCAGCCTTGGGCCATCTTGTCCAGCCCTGCATGGCAGAGGGCAGACAGGGTCTAGCTGTCAGGAACATGTTCTGTTGCTTGGTTCCTGCGTCTGTGTCGACCACGGTGTGGTTTGGTTTTCCCTTGTATCTTTCAGTGCTATCGGTTTCGTGTTAGCTGAGCCCTGGCAATGGCAGGTGCAGTCCAGCCTGATCTCACTCCTGGACTCACGGTGTCTGTCCAGAACCCGGAGTCGTGTGTCAGATCTCCTCATGATAGAAATGTGGGGCTTGTAGGGGTCCTCAGAAGCTTACTGTGATACGTTTGTTTTGGTATTACAGTAGGGTCTGGGTTCAATGGTGGGCCGCTGTATACTGTATGGGGCTACACAAAGTGGCTGCAGAGACGTGTGTGCCTAGGCAGGGGTCCTGGAGTCCTAGGCTCTGCTCTAAGTGGTGCCCCTTTGTTCCTCCAGGTCTCAGGATGCCTCTGGGCCCGAGCTGGTGCTGCCTGCAAGCATCGAGTTCAGGGAGAGCTGTGAGTGCCTTGACCCTGCTGCTGGGGAGTTGCTCACTGTCCTAGTTTTATCTCCCCCTGATTTTCATGAGTAATTTGCCTTATTTATGTTCCATAAATTTTTCCACAGCTGAAGATTCATTTTTATCGGCCATTATCAATTATACCAATAGTTCAACTGTCCATTTTAAACTGTCCCCTACTTACGTCTTGTACCTGGCCTGCCGGTATGTGTTGTCCAATCAGTACCGGCCTGACGCCAGCCCTGCTGAGCGCACGCACAAGGTCATCGCAATCGTCAACAAGATGGTGAGCATGATGGAAGGAGTCATTCAGGTGAGTGCATGCGCCTGAGCAGCTGCTCGCTGATGTGGAAATCACCCCAGCAGTATGGAAAAGAAGGGTGGTTTTGAGAATTGCTGGACAGTTTTTTCTGAAAGAGTTGTTGAGATTAAGTCCTGGAATGGGAGAATCATCCTTGGCATGCAGGACAGTTCCCCAGCACGGTTGGTTCCAGAGTCACAGACCCGAGAGTAGTCCCCTCCACGGCTCGCATGCCCAGGCCCCGGCAGCCGGCCCCGCATGCTTTTACCCCAGAGCCTGCTGCACTGTGGGTAGGCATGCTGTGGTGTTCGGTCACATACTGGGCTGGCGCTTGCCATCACCTAGGGGGATGTTTTGGGAAATAGAACACTGCACTGAATGTGTGCATTTGAAATTTTTTGCCGGAATTGCTTGTCAGTGCTGTTTTCCACTATGAACTCCAGTTATGTAACCCCAATAACATGGTGAGGCGTTTGGTTGATTTTCTCCTGGCACGATTGTTCGAGGGAAGCCAGGATGCTCTTTTCATTCCCTCAGAATTGTTTTAAATAAGAGCCAGTGTTCTGTAAGAAATGTGTATTTCATATTTGAATGATTGGGGAAGCCAAGGCCTTCATCCGGTTGCCATTTTGTTATTTCCTGTAATTGTTCTGTAGACAAAGAGGAGTTTCCTTTTGAGATGTCAGCTGGAGCCATTGTCTGCCCTCATGTTTGCACCTGCGTCTGTTTCACACTGTGAAACTCTCACCTCAGACCCTCTGTAGACCGTTGCTACGAGTGGTTTGAACTGCTCAGTGAAACCATGGGGAAATGTGCTTTGGAGCGTCAGGGTTAGGGTCAGTCTGCAGTTGGAGGAGAGAACTGGGATGTTCCTGCATGCGGCTCTGACTCCCCCAGGCCTGGAAATCTGACATCTCAGTGTGCATTTGAGTGTTTCGGTTGGTCTCTTCCATGTCTTTCATCGTTAAGAAACAGCCCAGGGGCACGGCCACCGGAGCTCTCAGGAGCAAGCCTGCCCTGGTTAGTGGAGTGAAGAAGGCCCTCCTGGCAGAGCTTAATGGAGACCAAACCCTTGTGGGTGTGCGTTTCTGACGGCCCATCAGCTAACACGGTGAAGAGGCGGGGCGAGAACGTAAAGCTAGTTTAGGCGCTGTGCTTCCAGACCCTGGAGAGCCACAGGTGGACACGTGACGTGGGATGATGTAACTAGATGTTACACCTTGGTGTCGCACGTTCATGTCAGTGTTGTGATTGCTTTGAACTGTCGTGATGTTTACGAGTTTCTTTCTCTCGTTCTGCCTGATTTCCCCTCGTCTGTTTTCTGCAGGAGGTAGACCAGGTGGACCAGGTAGGACACGCTGCGGAGCTGACCTCGCTGTTGGCTTAGCTGACCCTCATGCTGCTTCCATGCCACCCAGCACTCGAGCAGCTGAGCTCGGCTCATAACACTCATGCAGCACTAAACCCTTCCTGACTGCCTTTCCTAATCCCTGCTTAATGCACTTCCGTGTGGATATGAAACGACCAGCGTTCTGTTCTCTTTATTTATCCTTGCCTCCTATTCTTTGGATCTCATCTGAGGTTGCCTGGCCTGCACTGTGGTCGGGAGAGGTTGCGATAGATCAGTACCTGATACGAGTCGTGCGGCATCCAGCCTGCCACGACAGGTATCAGGGTGGCTGTGGGTTCCCGTGGGGACGGGTGTGTACCGCACAGATTACCAGACACTGCACGGCCGCCCGTCTCTCCATTCTCACTGACTCCATGAACGGTAGCTCCTGGTTTCTGTGTGTGTACATGACTCTTAAGCAGTAGCCGCAGTGGTCATTGACCTCCTGTTGCTACGTGTGCACGACAGTTCCCTGGCACCTCTCTGGTATCTGTGCTGGCTCCCTTGGTGAGCGTGGGAAGGTACTGGTCTGTCCTCCGCAGCTTTCCGAGGGCATCCCCGGCCCCTGGTGCCTGGCCCCTCCTGGCCGCTCACGGAGCCGCGCTCTGTCCACAGAAGCAGAAGAACATCGCGGGCGCGCTGGCCTTCTGGATGGCGAACGCATCGGAGCTGCTCAACTTCGTCAAGCAGGACCGAGACCTGAGCCGCGTGACCCTGGATGCGCAGGACGTGCTCGCACACCTGGTGCAGATGGCGTTCAAGTAAGGGCGCCTTCCTGAGGAAGCAGTCGTGGTTTGGGCGTTCAGGCTTTCCCTGATCTTAATCGAAGGGAACCGTTGAGCCTGGTCAGGGTGTGAGTTGGTAGTCCTGGGTGCCTGCAGCCCTGTCGAGCCCTGGGTGTAGAGCACTCTGCTTCCGTGTGAGCGCTGCGGCTGCGCAGAGCCGAGAGCGTTGACGCTGCTCCATGTGCCCAGGTACCTGGTTCACTGCCTGCAGTCGGAGCTCAGCAGCTTCATGCCGGCCTTCCTGGATGACCCCGAGGAGAAGAGTCTGCAGAGACCAAAGATAGGTGAGCCTGCCGTCCCTGCCCGGAACTGTGCCACTGCGTGTGTGTGACGAGGCTGCTCGCCGGGTCTGTGGGCTTGCTCATGGTGACCGCCGTGAGGTCTTGTTTACGCGTAGTCCTGCTCTTGGTGTCGTGTTGGTCAGACTGTCGGGAAAGCTTAAGGTGACCTTGAATGTTGGGTGTGGTTTGCTAACAGCCGACAGCGTGAGCCCCGGCACTGCGGCTCCCCTGCAGTGCCCGTGACTCAGTGCTCTTGTGTGTCCCGCAGACGACGTGCTGCACACGCTCACGGGGGCCATGTCCTTGCTGCGCCGCTGCCGGGTCAACGCCGCCCTCACCATCCAGCTCTTCTCCCAGCTCTTCCACTTCATCAACATGTGGCTCTTCAACAGGCTGGTGACGGACCCCGACTCTGGGCTCTGCTCCCACTACTGGGGAGCGATCATCCGCCAGCAGCTGGGCCACATCGAAGCCTGGGCCGAGAAGCAGGGACTCGAGCTGGCCGCCGACTGCCACCTGAGCAGGATCGTGCAGGTCTGTGCCGTGCGTCCCGTGGCCGGCGGTGCCGACTCCTTGGTAGAGCTTTGAGACCAGTGGCCCGGGTGTGGCCCGGGTGTGGCCCAGGTGTGGCGCAGGTGTGGCAGGGCTGTTCCTTCTGAGCTGCGAGGGAGGGGCCCACATGGCCTGGCCCAGGCAGTACTTGGCTGGCCACGTGTTGGTGTTCCGGCCTGTGCTTGTCCTCACGAGTGTCCCCTGCAGGCCCGTGGGAGTCACTGAGCCCTGCAGGATGCGAATGCCCTCAGAGGGCTTGAGGTTGGCATCAGTAAAGTGTGTGTCAGAGAGAGATCAGCATGAAGCCATGGCCTCACTTTCTCACCAGCTTACAGGAAGTTTTTACCTGTTCAACAGTCTGTTGATTTCCAATTTGTGTTAATTGGTTATAATCTTAAAACCTAGGATGGCTTTCAAAATCATGTGTTATGTTTCAAAAGGTTAATTTGAGAAGGAAAGAGATGGATACACACAGTGACACAGAGCTGCAGGGGGAGCGATCGTCCTCACTCCTCCAGTGCCCCGGAAGTCAGGGTTGGGTCAGGCAGGATACCGGAACCAGGACCTGGGCCTGGATCTGCCGCGGCTGCCGAGCCACCTCCTGCCGCCTCCTGTGGGGGAACAGCGTAGCCAGGGACTTGAGCTGTGCTCCGCTTTGACGTGCGGGTGTCTTGGCAGCAAGTGACAGAACGCAGAAGCCCGACCTTGACACTGGGGTTTTCTTCTTGATTTCTTGATCCCTTCCAAAACGATGTGGTGTTACGGCGGCTCAGCTGGGGAGCAGCTTTGCTCGGTCGTGGGGCTGTCCGTGGGACATCCCCATTGGGAAGAAGAGCGTCAGAATGCCTTGTGAACCCCAGGAACTCGGCATAAGTGTTTGATGCACTTCCAAGGCATCTAAGAGCTTTCTAAGACATGCTTTAGGGAAATTATGTGTGTCGTTACTAGGAGTATTTTTTTTAAAAATAGACAAGTTTTGTAAATGTTACCTAAAACTGTTTATGAAATGCTTTTAGACTTGACCGTTTGTTCATTCTTTTTAATAGGCTACCACTTTACTCACCATGGATAAATACGCCCCGGAGGACGTCCCCCATGTTAACAGCACCTGCTTCAAGTTAAACTCCCTGCAGCTGCACGCCCTGCTGCAGAACTACCACTGTGCGCCCGACGAGCCGTTCATCCCTGCGGTGAGTGCAGCAGGGGTGTGTGCAGCCACGCTTGGCCCATCTGCAGGGCGATGAGGATGTGTGGAGCTGTGCCCGGCCTGTCTGCAGTGCGGTGAGGGCGTGCGAGCTGTGCCCGGCCTGTCTGCAGTGCGGTGAGGGCATGCGAGCTGTGCCCGGCCTGTCTGCAGTGCGGTGAGGGCGTGCGAGCTGTGCCTGGCCTGTCTGCAGTGCGGTGAGGGTGTGCGGAGCCGAGGTGTGTAGAGCCACGCTCGGCCTGTCTTCAAGTGCAGCCCAGGAAGCCAGCTGTGCTTTACACATGTGCAGGGATGGGATTCCAGCAGTTAGGTTGTGGAGGGAACATTGGAGGAGAGCCCACAGGGCCCAGTGGCTGTGCTGCGTCTGCCTGTGCAAGTCACGGCATGTCTGCTGTCGAGTCCAGAGGGAGGTGAGTCCACAGTGCCCAGTCTCGCCCTGCCTGTGGCACGCCTGTTGCTTCTGAGAAGGAGCAGAGAAGCAGCCCAGTCCACAGGCTCTGCACAGTGCGCAGCACCAGCGTCCTAGCACAGGTGTGTGTGTCTGAGCTCCAGAAGCCAAGCCGGTGGACAGGTAGACCTGCAGTGTGCGGTGGAATGGCGGCCCAGGACACAGGAACCAGCCCAAGCCAGGTGTGCCGTTAGCAGGAGCGCAGCGTGCTCCTAGATGAGGTAGTCACGTGCAGGAGTGATGTCACAGCTGACACAAAGGAAGCCAGCTGGAACGCACGTGCCCTGCGTGTCCATCTGTGGGCATTTCCGGGACAACCTGAGCTGAACTCTGGGTCAGGAACCTGGAATCGGGGTGGGGAACCCCACAGTGGTGCTGCCCGAGGCCTTGCTTCTCGAGTGCAACTGTGCAGTGAGGATGGGGAGGATTTGTGATTTTGCTCTGTGTGTGGGAGGCCAGTGTCCCCTCGTGGGCGCGTGTCCTGACTGGGAAGCTGCCGTGCTGCCCTTCACCCTGTCTGTGCAAGTTTAACACTGTGCCATTGTACGCTGTCCCGAAACATGACTTGGTAGCTTAAACTGAAATTTATTCAAGAAGTATGTGAGGAAAAGAATGCTACTTTGGAAAGACACATTTCTTCTGACAGTCCAGCAGTTCCTTTCCCAGTTGAAACTGCTCATTATTTGGAGTTGACAATCGATACCTTGATTTCTAGAGTTCTGGTTTCCTGTAACAGATGGTGTGCGCTGCCCGAGCCCAGTGTGCTGCCATGAGGCCCCTGATGCGAGGCTGCTCGGTCATGGGATAGGTCATGGAGCAGCTGTTTGTTTTGCAAACAGGAGCTGATAGAAAACGTGGTGGCTGTCGCCGAGAACACCGCCGATGAGCTGGCCCGCAGCGACGGGCGGGACGTGCAGCTAGAGGAGGACCCCGACCTGCAACTGCCCTTCCTGTTGCCAGAGGACGGCTATTCCTGTGATGTGGTCAGGAACATTCCCAGTGGCCTCCAGGAGTTCTTAGAGCCCCTGTGCCAGAGAGGTGAGCACTGCTCAGCGTGGTGTCTGGGGTGGCGGCCACCTGGGCATCACCTGGCGATGGGGGGCCGAGCATCCGGCAGTACCCCTCCTGGGGTGCCCTCTCATTGCCCCCCTTACTGCTGAGGCCAGGAAGGGATTTGTCTGCTGAGAGCTGAGGTATAAACTTGGAAGTAGCTTGCCCTCATTCCAGTTAGAGCCCTGTCCCCCAGAGCTTCCTTTGGGCCAGGTGATCTCCGAAGAGTGGGCTGTGCTCACTGTGCAGAGCGCCCTGCTGCCTGGGACCACGCTACACTGCCCCACGCGGTGCCACACACTGCGCATATGTCACACACTGCATCTCTGCCTTCAGTTCCTTGTTTGAGAAGCAGAGCTATAGAGGCGGGTGACCTCTCTCGGGCTCCAGGCCCTCCCCCCATCATCTGTAGGATGGCAGTGAACCGAGGAGTACCAACCCTAGGAGAGACCTGGGGCCTGTCTCCTTGTTGGCTTCTGCTTCGGGAAACCAGGCCTCGCCTCTCAGCCCGTCTGCTTTCCTCGTGTCCCCGTGCAGGCACTGATGTTGGTGTGGCCTGCCACATGGCATTTGCCAAGTGCTGAACTCTGTTGTGGGCACGTACTGGTGGGCACCCTTGGCTTCTCAGGTGTACTGCCAGTCCCATGCCAGGAAGCCCGCAGGAGCCCCGGTTAGCGATAGGAAAAAGTACGTAACTTAGAATGCTTGAGCAGCTGCCAGTTTCGTAACGTGTGCCTTACAGACTTGCCAGCTTGGGGAGGAGCAAGGTGTGGGCTTGAAGCTCTGTTGGCGAATTGCCCGCAGGCGCCCGTCCGTGGGTGGTGACTTCTCGGGCACCTGTGCCCTTCCGTCATGCTCTTGGCATGGCCGCCTTGTTTTCTGAGCGCCTGTCTCCTGTGAAAGCCTTATAAAGAACTGCTGGTCTCTCACTGGCGCTCAGGGCTCCACCTCTCCAGCCTGGTTCTTTGTAAGCTGACTTCAGAGCTGTGGCCTGTTGCTCTGTGTTCCTTTGTGCTTTCATACAATCCATTTCTGTAAGAGAGGACTGTAAAACCAGTCTGAACTCACAGCAGCTCTGAGCTGCATTCCTTAGGCTAATGAAGCAGGCCGCCTCCCTGCAGTGTGGTCGCTTTGTTAAGGAAAGTGCTGTGAGATGGAGCTTGCTGATATTCCGTTCTGGTGAGTCTGAGTCTGTAGCACCACAAGCAAGTTGTAGGGTATATTTTAGTGAAACTCAGCTGAAGGCATGACTTAAAAAAATAAAGATTTATTTGTTTGTATTGGAAAATCAGATTTACAGAGAGAAGGAGAGACAAAGACCTTCCATCTGCTGGTTCACTCCTCAAGTGGCCACAACGGCCGGAGTTGAGCAGTCTGAACCGAAGCCAGGAGCCAGGAGCCTCTTCCGGGTCTCCCATGTGGTGCAGGGCTCCAAGGCCGTCCTCCACTGCTTTCCCAGGCCACAGGCAGGGAGCTGGGTGGGAAGTGGAGCAGTTGGGACATGAGCCGGGCCCAAATCCATGACATTTAAAAAAAAAAAGAATAAAATCAAGTAGATTTACTTTGATGTTGCTGGCATCTCCTTTCCCTTCTACGAAGACTAAACTTTGTTAGAGTCCAAAAGCAGCGGTCAGGCTGGTCCTCTGGCCGTGAGCTGGACCTCTGGCCGTGAGCTGGGTCCTCTGGCCGTGAGCTGGTCCTCTGGCCGTGAGCTGGGTCCTCTGGCTGTGAGCTGGTCCTCTGGCTGTGAGCTGGTCCTCTGGCTGTGAGCTGGTCCTCTGGCTGTGGGCTGGGTCCTCTGGCCGTGAGCTGGGTCCTCTGGCCGTGAGCTGGGTCCTCTGGCCGTGGGCTGGGTCCTCTGGCCGTAGGCTGGGTCCTCTGCCTGTGAGCTGGGTCCTCTGGCCGTGGGCTGGGTCCTCTGGCCGTGAGCTGGTCCTCTGTCTGTGAGCTGGGTCCTCTGGCCGTGAGCTGGTCCTCTCGTGTTCAGAGGGTCCTCTTTGGCAGCCTGGTTAGTGCTGCTGAGTGCCTGGGCTGCCGAAGGCACGCAGGTTGGTTCCTGTGTGAGGGCATGTGCTACAGTGTGTCTGGAAAACCACTGAGACACTGAAGACTAAATGAAGAACGATGTGTCTAGAACTGCAAGGCTCTTGTAAAGATGTCTTTGATGAAAACACCAGAGGTATTCTTATTGTTGTTAAGATTTGTTTTATTTAAAATTTGAAAGAGCTACCGAGATAGGGAAAGAGAAAGAAAGAGAAAAGCCTGCCTTCTGCTGGTTCGCTCCCCAAATGGCCGCAGCAGCCGGTGCTGGTCCAGGCTGAAGCCAGGCGCCTGGGCCTCATCGGGGCTTCTCCCATGTGGGTGCAGGGCCCAAGTACTTGGTCCATTTTCTGCTTTCCCAGGTGCATCAGCAGGCAGGGGGATGGGAAGTGAAGCTGCTGGTTGAATTGGTGACCAAATGACACATTGGTACCAAGGGCAGGGCACAATCAGCCATGCCACAGCATTGGTACCAAAGCCAGGCCACAATCAGTCATGCCACAGCATTGGCCCTGAGTGGTTGTTTGCAATATTATGCAGTTATTCTGACATTTATTTGTGAGAACTTGAATTGAGTGACCTTACAAGAAAGTTTGGGCAGATTTGTGAGAAAGAGCTAGGTGACTGGAGTTCCTGGCCAGGTCAGTGTGAGTGTCCTTGGCCAGCTCTGAGTGTGGCGGGCGGGCAGCAGCCCTGGGCTGGCCTTGCCCGGTCTCCTGGACTTCCCAGGCTAGTGGAGTGCACGGACCTGCAGCTTCTTGGAGAAGCGAGGAAGTGTAGTTTCGGAAAACAGATCAAGTAGAGTCCAGGTTTGCTTCTCTTTGGTGCCAAAATGAACCAGAGACACAACAGGACACGACTTGAAATGCTCTTGTTTCAGAAGGAATGAAGATGCAGACTTAGAGGGCCCGAAGGTCGGGCCCCGGCAGCGTGTGCGGTGTGCGCCCTCTCCACTGTGTGACCTGCTCTTTTGGTGCTTAGGATTTTGCAGGTTAATCCCACACGCGCGGTCCCCGGGCACTTGGACAATCCACTTTGAAGGTGCCGATTATGAAGACCAGCTTGTGCGGGAGAACACAGAACTGGCAAGTATTGTGGGCGGGAGGACGGAGGTGAGGTCGACACCTGCTGCCTGATTCTGACACAGAGCAGTTGCTTACGTGTCCTGAGCACTGTTTTGATCACTAAATTTAGTCACTTAAATACGATTTTATTAAAAACACTTGAACCCATGCATTACATAGATAAACTTGTTATTTTCCTATAGACGGTATCTATACACTTTTGTCTATGAACAGTGCTTTTTAAAATAATCTTGTGATCATACTTTGTCAGCCTTCATTTAATAAGCATTTTAAAACATTAATATCATAGCTTTAACAGGTTTTATTAGAAAACTATTTTTTTCCTAAGCTTGCCTTGAATATATGTCACATCTACTAATGTTTTCTATCTTTTTGGAAGAGTAATAAAGCTTATCATATTCTGGTTTCATGTATTTTTAGGGAAAATTCTAATGTTGCTTCCTACAGAGAGATTTTTTTTACAAATTGTTAAGATTTTTTTATTTATTTGGAAGGCAGCATGAGCAGGAAAGACAGCTTTGATCCACTGATCCCATCTCTAGATGGGGCAGAGTCAGAGCTCAGGCCGGGGTGCAGGGCGCCCCTGTGGCGTGCCAGTGTCACAAGGGCCAGCTTACTGGCTCTGTTACAGTGCTGCCCTTACGAGAGTTAGGGACAAGAAGCTTTAGACAAATCATAGAAATTATTTATTTTAAGAAGACAGTGACACAGAACAAGATCTTGGAGCCACTGGTTCGCTCCCCAAATGGCCGCAACGGGCAGGGCCACCAGGCCTGAGCCAGCAACCTGGGTCCCCTGGGGTCCCCCACATGGGCCACAGCTCAGGAGTTGGGCCACCTCCCACTGCTTTCCCAAGCAGTGACATGGAGCCGGTGCTCCGATGTGGAATGGCCCAAGGCCAGAGCCAAGGATGCTTTCTGTTTACCCAGTTCAAACTCAGGTGTTTAGGATTCCTTGCATACTTTAGTCCAGGGTCACCTGTACTGATGAATGAACCAACTTCTCAAGCCTCTCCCCACCCTGCTAACAGGCTTCTCAGTCCTGTGCAATAGTACCTGCTGCGTCTGTTAGGATTTAATTGACAGAGATAGGAGTCTGCTGTCCTCAGAGTCACTTCCCAAGTGACAACAGCAGCGGCTGGGGCTAGGCCGAGCCCAAACCAGGGTCTCGGAGCTCAGTCCAGAGCTCCCCTGTGGCCGTGCGAGACTCGGGCCCCAAGCGTGACGTTGTTTCCCGCTTGCTGCAGAGCTGGGCCTCGCCCAGGCACCGGCCGTGGCACGCGGCACTAAACGCTGTCTTCATGACCCCAGCAGCAGGCCATCTGGTGATGAAGCAGAGGGACAGACTCCCTCTCGGACGGAGCCGTGATTTCTTGTCTTTCTGGTTCGTTTCCAGATTCCTCAGACTATAGATTTTGATGAACATCATCTAATTTTCTGTAATTCTCTCAATCGTTTTCCTTTTTCTAAAACTTTATTTTTAGATATACAGATGGAAGGAGAGACAGAGAAGCTCTTCCATCCAGTGATTCACCCCCCACCCCCCCCAGTGGCCACAACAGCCGAAACGGAGCTGAGCAGCAGCCAGGAGCTTCTCCCAGGTCTTCCCGTGGGTCTCAAGGCTTTAGGCTGTCCTGGACTGCTTTCCCAGGTCACAGGCAGGGAGCTGGATGGGAAGTGGGGTCGCCAGGATTAGAACCAGCGCCCATATAGGATCCTGACATGTTCAAGGCGAGGACTTTAGCTGCTAGGTTACTGTGCCAGGCCCTCAAAATATTCTTCTCACAGGCTTTTAAATTTTCATTCCAAGTGGAAGTGTGTGTCTGTCTAACCTTGTTGAGAATATGCTTTCCTGGCTTATTTAGTTAGCCAAGTTCTCCCTTCCTCTGTGCCAGTTTTCTCAGTTGTGCTTACCCTTTACGTGATGTGTGGCATGTGTCCTGTCATTGGATGCGCTGCCCAGGAGCCGGCCTGGCCCGCGAGCTGGGACCTTGCCGCTGCAGACTTGGAGTGCAAAGTCGACGGCCTGCTCAGTACTGCCCCCGAGCGGCTGTCTTCGTGTTGTCCATCCTTCCTGTAGGCTGTATTAAATAAGCTCACATTTCTTAGGCCATAAGTAAACCTTGCAGTTTATCTCAGAAGATGATGAAGTGAAAATTGGGCTTTGCCTTTATGATAATTTTTTAAAGATTTATTTTAATTGCAAAGTTATATATAGACAGAAGGAGAGTCAGAGAGGAAGATCTTCCTCTGATGATTCACTCCCCAAGTGACCTGATATTAATGAAAAATTAACTATATTTTATTTGAGAAGTGGCGGCGAAGGTGTAGGCAGAAGCTTCCCACCTGCTGGTTCACTCTTAGTGTGCGCACCAGCTGGGACCACAGTGCTGGGCTCCCAGGATGCAGCTCAGCAGGCAGCCGACCGCAGAATGGTCTGTCCCTGTGATGGGATGTGCCTTTGTCACAGGAAGTCTCTGCAGAGGCCATGACCACACTCAGCTTGAAGAAGGGGTTGAGTGTTGTTGTTGACTTCCTCGGGCTGGCACGGGAAGCACATGGCATCGCTTTGGCCTTGCCTTTCCCCTTGGTGGCTGCTGGCTGCATCGTGAGCCTCCTGAGCACGTGCAGTGGGCGTTACATCCGGGACCCTGTGTTTCTCCGCCAGGCCCAGCCTCTGCGGAAGGAGCCCGAGATCATCACCGTGACCTTGAAGAAGCAGAATGGAATGGGCCTCAGCATTGTGGCAGCAAAGGTGAGATGCGGGCTCGTGTGGTCCTGCCCTCTGCCCGCCTCAGGTTGACCGTGGCTCAGTGCTGTTTGCTGGGGAGGAACTGGGATGCTCTCAGCTCAGAGAGGGGTGCCTTCCTGTTGTGGAAAGGCCCATGTGGGAGGGAGGCCTCAAGATGACACAGGCACAGTGAGCTCAGTCGCCCCCTCTGCGGGCCCTGAGGAGTTGCCGTCGCAGGTGCGGGGCAGAGGGTGGCTCCGGCTGTCCCCGGGGGCCTCCAGCCCGTTGTCAGTGGCAGATCTGAGCCGACACGAGTGCGTGGTGTGACCCTTCCCAAGCCTCTTCCCTGGGCTGCTTCTCACCAGGGTTTGTTCTTAATGAATTCTAGCTTGGAGTCATATATATTCAGTGAAGGAAATGTCATTGTTTCTTTGAGAGTGGCAGAGGCAGAGGCAGAGAGAGGAGGATCTCCAGCTGCCTGTGCACTTCCCAGCCTGGTGCAGCAGTGGTGCCGGACCTCTGTGCGGGCACAGGCCGCTCACCACTGCTTTTCCCACCCGGTTAGCAGGGAGCTGGATGGGAAGCGGGGCAGCTGACCTCACTTGCTTTGCTGTAGAGCTGGATCCCAAATGTGATCTTTATTATTTGGCTAATCTTTGGTACTTTAATTTCACCCCGTTTTTCTTAAAACAGCATTGTTGAAGGAGTCTGGAAAGCTCAAGAGGGTCCTAGAGCAGTGTGAGATGCCTTCTCCGTTGCATGTCATGAATGAATTCTGAGAAACACTAAATTGCTCATGGTCAAAGTTTAGTGTAAGATTTGTTTTTCCTCTATGCCGGAATGATACTGTCCCAGATTTGAGTTGGGAATGGATGGACTGTCACTGGGAGTCCTGTGCTCCTCCGGCTTGGGGCCCTGCATTGTTTTCACACATCCCCCACAAAGGTGCCTTCCTTTGCAGTGGGGTCTGTCCCTGTGATGGGATGTTCCTTTGCAGTGGGGTCTGTCTGTCCCTGTGATGGGATGTTCCTTCGCAGTGGGGTCTGTCACTGTGATGGGATGGATGTTCCTTGGCAGTGGGGTCTGTCCCTGTGATGGGATGTTCCTTGGCAGTGGGGTCTGTCCCTGGCGTACAGCACAGAACCGCAGGTAGGAAGAAAGTGAGCATGTAGGGCTCACTTGTGAGAAGTCAGGTGTTTGCTTTGCTGCCATGCATCTTTTATCCTGAAAGTTAATGTGTAATATAAATGTTCACCTGTATCTGAATGCTCGTTGAATTAGCTGTCTCTAATCTTTGATTTAGCAAGACTGATTCCTGCAATGCGCCAGGTAGTGTGGTCTGGTGTAGGGCCAGTGTCTGGGTGGCTGGTAAAGTTGCCACCTGTGATGCCAGCAGACTACTCAGGTGCCACTTTGTGTCCTGGCTGCCTCATTTCTGATCAAGTTCTCTTGGATTTGGGAAAAAAGCAGCAAAGATGGCCCAGTGCTTGGGCCCCTGTGCCGCATGGGAGGCCTGGATGAAGCCCCTGGTTCCTGGCTTTGGCTTGGCGTAGTAGCCTTGGCAGTTGTGGCCATCTGGGAATGGAAACTGGGTGGAAAATCTGTCTCTTCTATCTTTCTCTGCAACACTGCCATTCAAACCTTTTTAAGTTTATTTATTTGAAATAGTTATAGATTCAAAATTCTCCAGTTTCATCCTGGAAGGGAGGGGACTGCAGCGTTGCACTTCCCAGATGGCTGAAGCAGAGCTGGGCCAGGCTGCAGCCAGGAGTCAAGAGCTTCCTCAGGGTCTCTGTGGGCACTTGGAGTGTGATGCTTTGGTTTCTCAGGATCAGAAGTGGAGCTGCTGGCATGAGAATTGGCTCAGATGGGATGCTGGCTTTCTCTGTAATGCCACAACACCAGTCCCGTAGATAAGTCTTAATAAAGAAAGATGTTCAGAGAAGGTGGGATTTCAGCCAGTCCTTGCCATATGAGCAGTTGGGAGAGAATACGGGAGGTCCGTGGTAGGGGCACTGGTGGCTCCAGCAGCGATCAGGCTGAATGGGCCCAGGACAGTGGGCGTCTGGTGTGTGGAGTGGGCCCAGGACAGTGGTGTCTGGTGCGTGGAGAGCAGAGAACAGGACAGTGGGCGTCTGGTGTGTGGAGTGGCCCCAGGACAGTGGGCGTCTGGTGCGTGGAGTGGCCCCAGGACAGTGGGCGTCTGGTGCGTGGAGAGCAGAGAACAGGACAGTGGGCGTCTGGTGTGTGGAGTGGCCCCAGGACAGTGGGCGTCTGGTACGTGGAGTGGGCCCAGGACAGTGGGCGTCTGGTGCGTGGAGAGCAGAGAACAGGACAGTGGGCGTCTGGTGTGTGGAGTGGCCCCAGGACAGTGGGCGTCTGGTGCGTGGAGAGCAGAGAACAGGACAGTGGGCGTCTGGTGTGTGGAGTGGCCCCAGGACAGTGGGCATATGGTGCGTGGAGTGGGCCCAGGACAGTGGGCATCTGGTGCGTGGAGAGCAGAGAACAGGACAGTGGGCGTCTGGTGCGTGGAGTGGCCCCAGGACAGTGGGCATCTGGTGCGTGGAGTGGCCCCAGGACAGTGGGCGTCTGGTGCGTGGAGAGCAGAGAACAGGACAGTGGGCGTCTGGTGTGTGGAGTGGCCCCAGGACAGTGGGCGTCTGGTACGTGGAGTGGGCCCAGGACAGTGGGCGTCTGGTGCGTGGAGAGCAGAGAACAGGACAGTGGGCGTCTGGTGTGTGGAGTGGCCCCAGGACAGTGGGCGTCTGGTGCGTGGAGAGCAGAGAACAGGACAGTGGGCGTCTGGTGTGTGGAGTGGCCCCAGGACAGTGGGCATATGGTGCGTGGAGTGGCCCCAGGACAGTGGGCGTCTGGTGCGTGGAGAGCAGAGAACAGGACAGTGGGCGTCTGGTGTGTGGAGTGGCCCCAGGACAGTGGGCGTCTGGTGCGTGGAGTGGGCCCAGGACAGTGGGCGTCTGGTGCGTGGAGAGCAGAGAACAGGACAGTGGGCATCTGGTGTGTGGAGTGGGCCCAGGACAGTGGGCGTCTGGTGCGTGGAGTGGCCCCAGGACAGTGGGCGTCTGGTGTGTGGAGTGGGCCCAGGACAGTGGGCGTCTGGTGCGTGGAGAGCAGAGAACAGGAGGGCTCAAGGGAGTGAGGACACTGGTGAATAGGGCAGCTTTGGGAGTGCCCTGGGTTCCAGGACAGGGGGAGCCCGAGCCGGGGGGACCATGCCCTGCCATGCTGGGCACAGGGCTGGTTCCCGGTGCTAAAGCCTGTAGACCCACAGCTCTGAGCACTGGTGTGGAAGAGAGTGTGTCCTGGGCTGGACATGACCCCATCACACTGGGCTGTGCGGGAGCACGTGTCTTGTGAGCTGTGTTAGCCCACTGTCGAAGAGCCTCCTGTCTGAGGTGTTGACAGCTGTAGGGGGCAGGCTACTGTTCTGGGTCTTGGGTTCTGCAGTCACCAAGCTCATTCAGTCCCAGGTGACTTGTCTGTGTTGCTTCCAGTCTGCTTTAGGTGGGGCAGTTCTGTTTGGTAGGCTAACGTGCCCCATGAAGGAAGCAGGGGGCAGGGCTCAGAGTCCCTGGGCACCCCCACCCCCTTTGAGGCATCTGTCTTCCCCTGTTAGCTGTTTGTCTCAGTATGACCTCTGTCCTTGTTGGCCTGCCAGGTGCCAGGTGGACAGTTAGGACAGCGTGCCAAGAACCAGGTATAGTCAAGCCTTTGTTCAGTCTTGCAGCAGTGCTGGCAGGCCGCCAGAGGGTGAGGTGCCGCCCAGGCCTGTGTGTTCCCAGGAATGCTTGGGGAGCCTCTTGCTGAGGAGCGCGGGCGATGGGGGCTGCAGGGCTGCCCAGGGGAGAGCTCTGCATCGGTGCCCAGTCGTGCCTGGACTCTGGAGCTGTAACTGCCTTCCTTGCCTGGCCACCCTCTGCCGAGCTGTATTACTCACACTGCTGGCCACAGCACTCCCTGTTGGCACTGCCTGCACTTGCTCATGTCCCGCCCCAGGGCTGTCGTGTGCTCTGACTCCCATCCACAGAAGCAGGGCCTGCTCTCTGTCCCTTCAGCAGAGCGCTTTTGTCATAGAGATGACACCACAAGACACTGTCACAGATGGACTTCTGCCTTGGAGTGTGTCCAGCCCAGGTGCTCGCCCTGCCCTGCCGCAAGCCAGGAGGCCGCGGGGGCGAGGCAGGCGGAAGAGCTGCCGGGGCTCGCTGCACCGGGATGGGCAAGTGCAAGGCCGATGCTAGTGTGTGAGCAGAGTGCACATTGCAGGTGACTTGTGTCTGCCGTAAGAGAGCGAGATCTTTGAAAGGTTTAGTGGTCTCTTTCCCTTTACTCCTTGGTCACACTAAAACCCACCCACCACAGGTCCTCTGGGAGAGGGGTCCCCTTGGGACGGGCCCCCAGGCCGCTGCACAGCTGCCCCATGCTGGGCCCCACGCGGGCTGGGCCCCAAGCCCATTCCGTTTGTGAAGCAGGAGGGCTGAGGCCGCCCTGACAGGCGATTCTTGCTGTGGCCTCTTTCAATCTCTTCACATTTGTTCCACAATGGACAAATAGTGTGTATAAATTTAAAACTGGTGGAAGAGTACGTTTTCTTGAAAGTGACTCTGAGGCAATGCTCAGGTGGCTCGTTGCTCATCTTCCATGTGTGTACTTAGTACACACTGGACTGCCAGAGGCTGTTCATGCCTCCTCAGACAGGTGATCCTGGTTGGTCGCCCTGTACACACACTCCTCACCCCGATTCTGCAGGGACACGGTGGGCTTGCCTCAGACAGGTGATCCTGGTCAGTCGCCCTGTACACACACTCCTCACCCCAATTCTGCAGGGACACGGTGGGCCCGTGAGAAAGGGTCTCCTCCCATGTAGCTGCCATGGTTCTCTTGGGACTCTGGCGTGGAGGGTAGTGAGGGCCGTGCTCCCTGGGGTGTAGCCAGTGTGAGTGTGGGTTTTAGGTGATGTGTAGGTAGCTCTAAGCCCAGCGTGGCTGAAGTGGGGCCAGGATGGG